CCAGAGCCCAAAAGAAGACTCTTTACATATACATTTCAAGAGGTTCCTTTTACTGAAATTTCATTTTGCAAAACAAGCATCTATCACGTAAATACTACTTTATGGAACAATGCTGAAAGAATTATATTGACACTTTTAGCGGATTATATTTATACAATGGACTGGACTACTTTATGAAGAAAGAAAAATCCTGCACATGTTAAATCTAGCTATGATCATGAGTTGCATCGGTACGGTTAGCACAAAACCAAACAGTGAGATGTTGTTTATGTAATAAAAGTGGTAAGTAATATTTGTAATGAAATTTTAGTACTAATTTTCACTCACATGACATTGTCTGCCATTCCTCATTGCTAAGGTGTTTAAACAGGCTTCCTGACCCTGTGAGATCTTGTATTGCTGGTTATTATAAATAATCTATTGTACGAGTAACTGGTTGCTATTAATAAAAAAAACTAATAAACTTTGAGTAAGTAATTTATAAAATGCATAAATACAGAAAATGTAAATACATTTGGCAGATACAGCCTGCCCAGAGCAATTTACAGCTTGAACATGCCTTCTAGGGATCTAAACTCAACTTGTTGGACAATTATAGCCAGCATCCTATTTGCCCTATTTATTGCTGCCTCACACGATTGATACCACCAACCCTAGATCTTTTAGCCACAAAATGGAAGGAAGAAAATGGCACTTTACAAGAAAGTAAATATCCCTTATATTTATCATTGGCTTTAATATTCATAAGTGTAACCAACAAAAATGATGTTTTATGTGTATACCACCTACACAATGCCTCCTCATACCAACAATCTGATAAATGTACTTAGCCTGAGGGAGAGTAGGCTTGTCCATGTGACAAAATACCAAAGCAATGCAAAAATCTACCTACATATGGGAACATAGGAACAGAAGTAGGCCATTCAGCCCCTCAAGCCCGTTCCACAATTCTATAAGATCATGACTGATCTATACCTCAACTCCAATTACCGACCCTTCCCCATATTCCTCGATACCCTAACCTAACCCACTTCAGTCTTGACAATTTGAATTTGATCCAGCGTCCACAGCCTTTTGGGGGAAGAGAGTTCCAGATTTCCACTACACTTCAAATGAATAACTGCCTCCTGATTTCACACCTAAATGGCCTAGCTCTAATTTTAAGATTATGTCCCCTTGTTATGGACTCCCCCACCGAGGAAATACTTTCTCTGTATCGACCATATTGAATCCCTATATTAGTTTAAAAACCTAAATTAGATCTAAACTCAATGGAATACAGACCATGTTTATGCAACCTGTCCTCTTAATGTAACTCTTTAAGCCCTGGTATCATTCTGGTAAAACTGCACTGCAACCACCTCCAGAGTCAATATATCCTTCAGCGCCTTGGGACGTCCTCCTGACGTGAAAGGCGCTTTATAAATGGAATCTTGTTGTTGTTGTTGTTCCTGAGGTGTGGTGTCCAAAACTGAACTTAGTACTCCAGATGGGATCTGACCAAGGCTCTATACAGTTGAACCATTATTTCCTCTACTTTATATTCCATGGGCCTTAAGATAAAGGCCAACATCCCATTGGCCCTTTTGATAACTTTTTGTACCCGTGAGCTTGCTTTTAGTGATTTGTATAGGTGCTCCTCACAGTTCTTAGTTACTCACCATTTAGAAAATTCCATCAGCCACAGTTTTGCCCCTCATTTAATCTGTCTAAGTCCCTTTGTAACTTCCTGCTCCCATCTACAGAATTTATTGTGCCTCCTAACTTTGTGTCATCTGCAAATCTTGATACAAAACTCTATTCCTTCATCCAAGTTATTTATATACATTGATGAAAAGCTGAGGCCCCAGTACAGACCCCTGGGGAACACCATTTGTCACGTACCAGCAATCAGAGAATGTTCCTTTATCCGTACTCTCTGTTTCCTGCTCCATAATCAATTACCAAGTCACGTCACAAGGTTTCCTCCGATTCCATGCACTTCCAGCTATGTATGAAAGGAGGGAATTCCCACATGGCTCCCATTCTTATGCAATGGAATAGGATTTGGTCAAAAACATAAAGGGGAAGGAAAGTTTGAGGTCGGAGGAATACTTTCTGTTCAAATTACCGAGATACTTGTGAAAATTACATACACCTTACAGCGCAAAACAGACCATTTGGCCTAACTAGTCCATATCAGTGTTTATATTCAACATAAGCTTTCATTCATCCTAATCCCCTCTCCTAATAGCCCAACTGTCAAGGATCAAGTCTTGAGAGAAGACATCTCAGGGGGACCTAATATGTGTATAATTATTTTTTTTAAAAATGGGATTGAAAAAATAAACCCAGATCAATGCTTAAGAATGCACCAAGACAGTAGAACAGGAAGACATAGGTTTAGAGTTGCAAGGGCAATTTCAGAACAGATCCCAGAAGTTTTTTTTAACCTAGACATAACTACAGACATAACAGTAATAACTACAACAGGTTGCCAGGAAGAGTGGATGAGACCAATTAAGAAAACAGCTTAATGCTGTGATGGCAGGATGGCTATTCTGGAAGGATAAGATCAGAATGTGCAAAGGGTCTTCTTCATCCAAACCGAACTTGTGATCTTGTGGAGTCACCATTTTATACCGGTAGAATTTGTTTAATAAAACAGATAAATAGGGAATATCTCCACTTTAAAAGACTGGGGACTGCCTCGTCACAAGTCACTCACTCTAGAAAAAAAAAAATCAGAAGTGGACATCATGCAACACTTTTCTGAAACTAAAATAAATTCTAACTTTGTGAAGTAATCCCTCCAAAACAAAAAACAATAATAAATTGGTCATTTTCAATCCACGACTGTTTGTGGGACATTGCTGTGCGCAATTGGCTGCCGCGTTTCGCCCACAAATATACAGTCAATTCACTTTACAGTGTGTTCTGTGAAGCGCTTTGGGGGGTCCTCCCGACGTGAAAAGCGCTACATCAAATGCAAGGATTATTATTATCATTATACGATCAATTCACTTTACAGTCTATTCTGTGAAGCACTTTGAGACGTCAAAAAGACGTGAAAAGCGTTATATCAAATGCAAGGATTATTATTAAGTGTAAGAATTTATGTTAGAACAGTGACGCCTAGTGGTCATTTAAAGTCAACACCCAAACTCAAATGGCTTATGTTACAAAATTATTGGCAAATCACCAATTAAAAAATTAACTTCAGTATACCAAGGCGCCACCCACAAACTATGTTCGCTGATAAAACATTGGGTTGTAAAAAGGTATAGAGTTGTAAAAGGACAAAAAAAACACATATGTTTAAGGGAAAAGATACTTGTACACATACATTGAAAGCGACAATTCATGATACACAGGTAACACTCCCTCACTCATTGTTTTCTAGAGTGAGGAATTTGTGACCAGGTAGTTCCCAGTCTTTTAAAGTGGAGATATTCCCCATTTATCTGTTTTATTTTAAAAAATTCTACCGGTCTAAAATGGTGACTCCACAAGATCACAAGTTTGGTTTGGATGAAGAAGATCCTTTGCACATTCTGCTCTTATCCTTCCAGGATTAAGCACCAAGAGAGTCCTTTACCAACAAGGCCTAAATAAAGTGTGAAATCATTTAAGAAATATTGCAAATTAAACCACGGTATTAATATTTGTCAATTTTTAAAGTTACCAGAAAGTTCAACAACAATTTGCATTTATATAGTGCCCCTCACCCAGGGTAGCGCCCCAGTGTGCTTGACAGTAGAGGAGTATAGCGCCTAGCGGGGGAAGTGACTGTTGGCACTGTCGAAGCGGAAGATCTTCAGGCGCAACCTGAAGGAGGGGGTAAGGCAGAGAGACAGGAAGAGTGTTCGAGAATATCAAGGCGTAGCGCTGAAAGCGTGGCCGCTGATGGTGGCGTGGAGGGCAGAAACCAGTGGTTTGTTGGACGTAAAGGGTTTCCATTTAAGAAAAATCCACGAAACAGTAAATCATGTTAATTTTGAAGTGAATTATAGACTAATTGACCTTTATGTACATCTTTCAAAAATGTAAACGTCTGCATTAATTAGTTGGCCATAAACTCCCAGTTAAGATATCAGCCACTGTCACAAGTTTAAATTCTGAGGCTTACATTTTTTCTTCTTGGAAATTAATAGTTGAAGTACCATTCCTTTAATATTCCATGCTTGACAAATATATAAAAAGAGTCAGTCATTCAATAGATTCTGAAGACAGTGTGGCTAGTTTCTTGCAATAAGAGCGAAAGGAACATTATAAGACAGGGTCTTGGGACTACACCTACAGGAGCAACATTTTTGGCTTAACTTTATAATCTAAAATGCTGCATCAAAAGTTATACTTTAATTCTCACCTGGACTTTGAGTATCGAAAGGAAACTGCAAAAGAAGTGTCCTTTATTTAAAAGGGAGCAATTTCCCTAGTTAACGAGTGAACATAGGATGCTGTTGGATTCAAATACTCCTGGGTAGTTTGCAGAATGCAGCACTAGCTACCAAGAAATCGGAGAATTTCTAAAACTTAATTCTTTGAGTACATGCCAATACTTTTGTAAAGTTATTCTAAAGTGCTTTGCTTGATTCGCTTGAATCTACAATTACTCTATGTTCTTGTGTTGTAAATTTAAACAAAATTATTTAAAACATCTCTGTGCGATAAATCTACATCTTATTCAATTAGCTAAAGCCTGTCACTAAAGTAAAACTGTCTGCTTACCGAAAGAAATGGAGGCGTTGAATGCCCATGTGCCACTATATTAAATATTAAAGAGTTGTGTTGCTGGAAATTGCCATTAAGTAAGATTGCATCACCCAAGAGAGGCACAGTTCTAGGTCATAGGAGACTCGGTCTGCTTAGGTAAGCTGTGAACATATTCATTTAATATTGTTACAGAATTACAGTTATAGAAATCCTTTGCAATACGTCACACCATTACAAATGCTTTACAAGCACATATTTGCTGAATCTAAGTTAATATTTGCCAGAAAGATGCTATAAATTCATACCCGCATTTCTTTTAGGTCATGAAAGTTGTTTCCCACTCTGACAGAGACTTTACTTGGAGTGTAGCTTTCATCAGATTTGTAGTCGGCATATATACACAAGGTCTTCACGGTTGTTTTTCGTCTATTAAAACAAGCAAAATAATCCTAGTAACTGAGATTATCAGAAATATATGACATTAGCAGCTCATTGCTGCATATAATGGGAATAGTTGTATTTTTTCTTTTCAATGAAACCTATCAAAAGCAAACTAAAATCCACTCATGTGGCACACTTGAGAAAATTACTATCATCTCTATATACTGCTATATATTTGCCAATCTCTTATACTTGAACAAGTTCATAGTTGGACTCATTACCACTTGATAGAACAATCTTACTCTATAATTCCCTTCATGCCCTAGAAGCTTCCCAACTTTCTAATCTTCCACTACCCCTCTGCTCACCTCCTCCGCTCAGCTAACTTAGGCCTGCCACACATCCCCCACCGCCTCTGCACTGGTGGCCAAGCCTTCAGATGTTACCCTCCCTCTACCATTCTATGTCTCCCTTTTCTTTCGTGAAAGGCGTTACATAAATTTGTTGTTGTTCAAACCTGCCTCTTTAGCCACGGATGGGTATGTTCATCTGCCCTTCCCCTTGCTTGGTGTCCGACCCCATCTTTGTAAAACTCTCCAAAATTTGGAGAGCTTTACAAAGATGGGGTCGGACACCGAGCAAAGGGATTCAAAAGGCGCTTTAAAACTGTTGATGTTAATAAACTGTTCAGTGTAAATGTAAATATCAGGTAAACTTAAAATTCACAGGGCAGCAGACATACCAGGTTTACCTTCCTCCCCAAGTCTGCCACGTACATACTGTTTTTCTTTTAAAATGAAATGACTGTACAGCCCCATAGACTGCTATCTCCAATTCCAGAGCCTGTTTTTTTTTCTATTTTAGCAACAGTTCTCATTCTGAATTAAATACATGGCACACAAATTCCTATTTATCAGTGTATACCCTATTTATGAAATTGCTCTAAAAGTCAAAAGTACATAATTGTAAAGGGGCCCACAATTGAAAGGCTGGATCTTATTTTGAGAAACTGGGTGGTCTGTGGCAATTTTCAGTACCTGAAGCATTCATTACTAAACTGACAAATTATGACTGATAACATTGACCTCCAGCCCCACCCACTCCTGTAACTTGCTGAGAATCAAATTGAATTTTCTTTCCATAAAATCAATACTCCTAAAACTGGGCTGCAGACTAAATACATATCCTTAAACCCGCCACATTACAGCATGGGAAAACAGGATTATGTAGCAACTAATGTTACCAGTAATTTTAGACTGAATATACATTGACATCATTGGAATCCTGTTAACACTTACCACACTGAAATTTTTTACAATTTTTTTCAGCTGGATATATTTTTAGGTACTGTCCCGCACTCGAAGAAGGTCTCAATTAATAAATGTGATGTTTATTAAGAGAACTATAACCCACAGAACAAATACTGAACAAATAGTCATGACATACAGAAAAGGAAATGAATAACTTGAGAATTTGTAAGGTCATCAAGGCAAAAGTAGAAAATAGACATGCAATTATCCCAACAATAAAATGCACCAAGGGAGTACGATAATTACAGGAAATTTTAATTGCACTAAATTAAAAGAGGGAAAAGAGGGAAAAGATCTTTGAAAAAGTCAGTTCACAAAGCTAATTCATAACTGCTTCTTAACAAGATTTTGTGCGTTGGGGAGCAGAGAATGGAGTAAGAGACCATATTTGATCTTATATTTAGTATTGACAGAAAGAGTGGTTGGACTCCTTAAACATAGTTTGATGTATTGATAGGAAGACTGCCGGGTGAATATTCTGGAAGGATGAGATCAAATGAGTTAAAGGTCCTTCTTCACCTAAACCAATTTTCTGATTAGTGCAAGCCTTCATCTTCTGCCATCACCTCTCATGGAAGGTGTGATGTGAAAGAAATTATTTGAATGCAAATTGCTGTTGTGCTTGAGGATATCTTTATTAAAAACAATCTTATCCTTTGAACCTTCCCTTAATATTCTGGTATGAAATGAAACAACTTGATTTTTTCCCTCCCCAAGCACTGGAGGTAACTTTACTTATGAAGCCTTATACCACTAGGACAACCAAAAAATGCCTACCTTTATAAGCAAATCACATTTCTTTACTTTTAGAGGTCATGCATATTAGTATAAATCCAAGTACAAAATGCAGGGTATAATCATAAAATAAGACTTGTCGGGTAACCAATCTATGTAGTCTAAACATTGATAGTGCAGTGTAGCAGTTCCAAAGGAAAATAACATTTTAGGATGTCGGTGAGCTCATACATTTTTGAGTACCGTGTTCAATTGCAGCTACTGTAGGTGTGAAAATATGAAGGTAGTGGAAAAGATTTAGACGGCAACTCAACTCTTCTGGCTTATGGAAAGTGGCTAAAGGAAGGCATGTCTATTTTAATTTTAAAAAATGTTTTTGCATGTAAAGTAGAACCACAGAAATTAACAGAACAGAAAGTTTAAATGATAGGATTAGAATAGTGAGATAACATACCAAAAAAACAAAAAAAACTGCAGACATGAACATAAGCTAAAGAAACTTTCATTTAGCTTGCCGCAATAATAAAATAATCCTTGCATTTAATATAGAACTTTCATATTTGCAATGAACTTGTGGCATAGACTGCCACCTAGTGAATTAAATACCAACTCGGCTTAAGAGCTGTACTGTAATGGAAAGTGGATCATTCCCAACTCAACAATGACTAGAAGGAATTCAGGGCAGGAAAAAGTCCACTTGGATCCTAATGGTGTTGACCCATTTCCAACGGTGAGAGGAAAACCTAGTTCTCTCATTCCCTCCAAGAATCAGAGATGTAAATACCCGCATGATTGAAGACCTTATTAGATAAGCAATCCCTTTTCATTCTAGGCATCTTCCACATAACACTGAAGTATATTTAACCAGTGGCTGTGAAGGCAAAGTATGGGTTCTTACCAAGAATCGACAAGCTAAATGCAACAATAGACCTACCAAAATGTACATTATATGGGGCTGCTACATCTGAATAATAAAAGTACGAGTTACAGACGTTATAGCTTCACAAATATTGGGGTTGAAAAAGGGAAATGGTAGCCAAATTGACATACTGCTTCTCCTGCAAAGTGCCCACTGCTTATCACACAAAGCTATAAGAAATTGGCTCCAACTTCAGGCACATATGTTCCACATATGCTGCGGAGAAATGATTGGCGCTCATATTTAAAAGTGGGGAGATGTGGGGTTGAGAGAATCCTCTGCAATTTCTGCTCGATTAACTATGGAATTTAGGAAGCCTCCATGATGTTTCCCTCAGGTTGGGATAAAGTCTGTGACGCGCCACATGATCAGACATTCTAATGAAAGTACTTCAAATAAAAATGTAAAGTAGAACTACAGAAATTAACAGCTCCGAAAGTGGCCATAGGGCCATTATGTCTGTGCTGGATGCTTGAAAGAGCAATCCATTCAGTCCAATTTATCCACCTTAACAACAACAACTTGGAGTTATACAGCGCCCTCCATGCTGGACAGCATCTCAGAGTGCTTCACAGTACCTTATCTACCACCTTACCTCTGAAAATTGAATATCTTTTTAAGATATCTATCAGGTTCTCTCTTGAAAATACAACTGCGGAACAACAAATTATCAAATTAACCGAATTACAACACGACAACAACAAATTATTTATATAGCTCCTTTCACAGCAGGAGAACGTCCCGTTGCAGGATTTGGACCTGAGCTAGGGGCGGAGGCAGGAGGGTAGGGTTAGGAGAATGACCGAAGACGCGGTCAAAGAGGAGGGTCTTGAAACTAGCCTTGAAGAAAGCAAGGGAGGGAGTGAGGCGAAGGGATTGTGGAATGAAGTTGCAAATGGTAGGAGCATTAAATTCAAGAACAGAAATAATGTCACAAAGGGTCACTACTTTTATAAAATACTGGAGTGGATATTCCCCTCATGATTCCCTCCCCCCTCATTTGATTCCCTGAGAATACTGTGTGGAATATAGCTGGAATAAGAAAGAATGGCCATAACCGGAAAATAGGAATAGGACTATAGAAAACACTATTTTGTATCCTGAAATTCAAACAATTGGAAAAAAGAATTTCAGGTGCTGTTGACTATACTTTTACTATGCCTCATATTCAATGTCTCCAATCATGCCAAGTCTTCCATGAACTTCCACAGATAGGAGCTAGGTAATGCTATTCACCCTCCCTAATTGTATGAAAATACTCTTATTAATTACACAGCAAAACAGCATTTCCATCATAATAGAAAACATAGCTTTCCTTCTAAACTTGTTCTTGTTGAGACGCTTCACTGCTTTGAGGAAGGAAGAAAATCAGAAGCAGACACATACCATCCTGGCAGGCAAGTGCTCCAAGAACTCCGTATAAACACTATCTGGGTGGCCAGGCACACAGGCACCACAAATGTCAAGTTCTGGAGACTATATTTTTAGTACTTTTTTTTAATTTAGAAGGGGAAAACTTGATGACAGAGTTTCTCGTTGGAGCCAGAATGTGCGAGAGCATTAAACACCAGGACAGTCACTGACCCAGGATAAGTCCTACAATTCAGATCCCTCAAACTCAGTGACCCGATGACCAGAAAAGAGGCTATTGTTTCACGAGGAAAGTCAGCTAGAGATGAGTGGTATACCGCACATCCATTACAGCAGTCACCCATATTAGACCCACATTATAAGCAGATATTCAGATCAGGTGTAACTTATAACAGGATAGCCCTGTAGCTGCAAAAAGGTTAATACCTCAATTATTTTGATATCTATACAATACAGGACTTGGAACCCCTTACATTTTTCACATTCGTTTTCAAATGTTCATCTTTCAAATTTAAAAAAAGCAAGTACATTTCATTGCAATTGTTTGTGCATTCAGTGTACACCCACAATAGAATGAAGTGTAAAACTTCAGGCTTCAATGATCTTGGAGGAACACAAGTTTAATTAGTTTGAGCTGGTACTCCCCCACATTTTGCACCAAATGCACCCAAGGGTAGACAAGCAACCTACTCTCATCCGGGTACTCTTTTGAGGTGGACACCTGTACATTTTCTTGGCTTGAGGCTTCAGAGCAAGCAGCCTTTTGAGACTTTCATGCCATAAAATTGCAATAATAAAACTTGCATTTGTTATATCGCCTAGAACACTGAAATGTCAAGTGTGTCATAAGGAATTGTAAGTGAAGGAAATGGGCAAACAACAGTAAATTTACATTCATCAAGGTCCCAAAAATGGTATTGAAATGAATGGACCATTTCTCAATGATGGTCAGTGAACCAGAAGATCCCCCACTTCTCTTTTTGAATTGCATTGTGGGATATTTAACATTCACGTCAACAGTTGGCTGAGATCTTGGTCTAACAGTTCATTCAAAGAGCAACATCTTCAAAAAGGCAGCACTTCCCAACACTGCACTGGAGTTGGTCTTGATTACGAGCTCAAGTCCAGTTATAGGGCTTAAATCGACTACCTGATCCAGAGATGACATTGCGACCTTTACATAATGTTCCGTGACTGCTGCTGCTACTACGTACGATGAAGCAGTGATTAACACACATCAGTCATTTGATAAGCGTCTCATTGGGATATTTTCAAATGAGTTGGAACATATTGTATACCGTCAATCACATGTTCACATACTATAATAATCTATTACATTTGATATAGGGCCTTATCATGCTGTTGAGACGTCTCAAAAGCACTTCACAGAAGTGTAGTGACTTTGGTCCGTGAAACCCTTCAGCCAATTGTGCACAGAACTACTAACTGTAATTGCTTTAAAAATGAAATGGAGGAATACGAAAATGTTAGTTTTCTCTAAAAAAGCTGCTTTCAAATATTGACTTCCTCAGAATGATGGGAGCATATTTTTGAAAAACAATTTATAGGAAACACAAAACACACAGGTTGACATGAAGACAAACTACATCAGATTTAAGTGAAAGCTTAGATTTTACCCAACTTATACACTCATACCTGAATTGAATGTTGACAAGATGAGGCTGAGACCCATCTGACTGCCAATAGGTTTCCAGATTATCATCACGCAACTGATCCACACCAAATCCTGATGAATTAAAAATTATAACTCCATTATTTTTGTGAAGTATATAGTTTAATAGCCAATCCTTGTTAGCATTACTAGTGAATCCCGGATTTGTACTGAAAAAAAAAAAAAATTAATTACATTTGATATAGCACTGTTCATGTTAGGAGGATATTTCGAAGCACTAACCAGGATATACACGAAAAACCTGCCTGGCCAGACCAATGGGGTCGGGGTGGGGGAAGAGGTTGGAAAACAGAGAAAGAGAAAGAATTCCCAGCTAAGTGCAATTGCATTGCCAGTACCATCTTTCTTCGGTTCCGGCTTTTTTCGTTGCTGCCAGTACCAGCATAGCAATTGTTAGCGAATAAGCCATCTTCTGCTCACGGGATTAAATCGGGTCACAGTCAATATCCCTGGACACTGAAGACTAAGGATGGTGATGCAGGGGTGGTGTGACCACATGGTGGTCTAAGCTAGTCAGGTGCTCTCAACGTTATCAGTGATTCATACTAGTATGCTGCAAAGTTATCATCATTGCTCATTTATCAGATCATAAATTCATGAGTTGAATCAAAGTTAAGATTAGAGATGAAAACTCAAAATGATTTCACAAACTAGACAATTGATCTGCAAGCATACCCGGTTTACAAGAGGAAAGGGACCAAACCGCCTGAGAGCCTATTTCTCGCACTGTGCCAGTTCTTTCCAACTGCTTTGGATCTTCACCGGGTGGAGTCTTACTTGGGGTGGTCATCTTTCTTCTGCGTTTCCAATGTGTAGTAGATGTCTACACAAAATTGAAACAAAAAATTTAAAAAGTCAAAAGCGTCTATAAGAGTCACCTTTTCTTAAAATCATCACAGTAGAATTAGGAAATAATGAATAAGAAATATATGTTGGTTCACCAGCCCACTAACGGTTTTGGCAAAGAAAAATGTGGTAATATACATACACCTCTTTCGCATTATACTGTACTGACATTCAGCAATTGCATCCTATACCCGTGATTTCTCCCGCACCAGGGTCCCTGACCCTATCACCCCCATCCTTGCCCAACTCCACTGGCTTCCCATCACACAGAGGATACAGTTCAAGATCCTGGTCCTCACCTTCAAAGCCCTCCATGGCCTTGCTCCCCCCTACCTCTGCGACCTCCTAACCCCCTACCAACCGGACCACTCCCTCCGTTCAGCAGGCTCCAGCCTGCTTCACATCCCCCACCTCGCCCACCGCACCATTGACAGATGAGCCTTCAGCCATTCTGCCCGCACCCTCTGGAACTCCATCCCGCAGTCCCTCCGCCTCGTCCTGTCCCTTGCCTCCTTCAAGACCCATCTCAAGACCCTTCTGTTCAACTGTGCCTTCGATTACTCTCCTTTCCCCCACCCCTACCCTCCTGCTTCCTCCCCGATCCCAACCCCCAGCTCAGGTCTGAAAACTGACTGTCCAACACCTTGGGAAGTCCGCCCGACATGCAAGGCACTATACAAATGTAATTTTGTTGTTGCTATAGATGTTAGTTATTTTAAAACCAACATTTTAAACTTGGCTACAGTTCACAACATAATAGATAACACTATGGAAACTTAGAAAGGGTAGCTAGTCTACAGTTACTTACTCTACACTTACTTACTCTATACGCCTGATAATAATCCCTGAAGAAGAAAAAAATAATAAATTGGTCACTTCAATCCACGACTGTTTGTGGGACACTGTTGTGCGCAATTGGCTGCTTCATTTCACCCATAAATATACAGTCAATTCACTTTACAGTATATTCTGTGAAGCGCTTTGAGACGTCTAGAAGACGTGAAAAGCACTACATCAAATGCAAGGATTATTATTATTGTTATTAACAACAAATAAAATCTTTGTGCAGTCATGTTCGGACACAGGTTACATCCTGAAAGCATCAACATGCCAAGTATTTTACAATTCAATAGCCAGTGTGGAGGGAATTCACAACCGAGACTACAGCGCCACCTATTGTCCATCTAAAACTGCAAAACAAAATTCAAGAATTGGCTAAACCTTCCAGGTATTCAAAATTTGAACGTAGCAGGACTGGGCGCGAAACAAAAAAATTAAAACAAATTTCCATTGACCAAAAATTTCCACAGGCCACATGTAGACCTTCACTGGCATTCTCCTAGTCACACTGGCAACATCACGCTTGCTGCCCTTTACGGAGCCAAGGATATAAACTTTGACTCAGAGTTTTTGAATCCCTTGAATCCGCAATCAGAAGATAACGTATTTGATACCTTCTGCTGGTAGAATTCAAACAATTACAATTCGGGTACAGGCTCACTCCCACCCCCAATTAGTCTGGCTATAGTCCCTAATAAGTGTACTGTATTTATATCACATTAGTAGAAACACCAAGACATGGACCGATTGGGCTGAGTGGCCGTTTCGGTGCTGTACGTTCTTTGTAAATTCATTCTAACCCAAAAGTTAGATAGCTAATATAACAATGCAAACTTTATCCATAATTCCTGAGGAAAGCACAAAAATTACACTTGAGGACAATTTTGTGAGTTTTCCTACAATTTCTTTTAACTTTTACATAGTCTGTACAGTGCAGAAACAGGCCATTCAGCCCAATTAATCCTTGCTGACACTTTTACTCCAATAGTCTCCACCCACTCCTTACTCCCTTACATATTCTTGTATTTCCTTTTAATTGCACCTAATCTTTCCTCCATATTCCAGAGTTCTATATCCTTATGAACCTATGAGAAAGAAGTTCCTTCTAAATTCTCTTTTAGATCTCAAGTCGCTATTTACTTGGGTTCCCTGGTTACAGAGTTATCAACAACTGGGAACAGCCTATTTATGCTAAACTTACTGAACCCTTTTATAATTTTAATGACTTCTCGGAGTTTCATGCAACTTTAGTAATCAACCAAGAAATAGCATTAGATCGTCAACTCGACTACCTTGAATACACTTGGTGTAATTTAGTTTTCCATGTTAACTATCGGCCATTTTCTTTTTAAAAAACTATCCCCTTCTTAAGCAAATTTTTATTTTATTTTTTGACCTCTATTACAGGGAAGGTAGTTGCTGAGGGACAACTGAGGAAGAACCATTTTGACAGGCATCTTATATACAAAAACAAGGTAAGGGGACTCTTGCCTAAGACATTTTTTATTTATCCTTTAAACTCATATATTTCCAACAAAATTTGCCTCTTGCTAAGATAATACTCTGAAGTTTGATGCAGACAAACTTATAAGGCCAAGTGGACTATAGGTGATTGTTTTTCTATTGTATAATATTGAAATTATCCAAATGAGGAATGAGATCTGGAACTGAACTACAAATCACAGAGTACATTCGAGCAGTAATAGTCTTAAGTGGAAGTGCCATCTAGATCTCGTGAGATTGATGAGGTCAATGGACCCTGTCTGAATATATTTGTGAACCTCCAGTCTATGCCTCTCACAATTTTAAAGGCTTGGATTATATTCCTCCTCAAACTACTTTTCCAGTGAAAAAATAGAATGTGTATGAACCTCTCTTCATAATTTGTAACTGTGTTCCAGAATTATTATTGCTGGTCTTCTCCAAACCTTCTCATTCACTTCAGTATCTTTTTGAAGGCAAGATGTACAAAAGTGCAGCCAGCATTCCAAATGCAACTTCAACATCAATCTAAATGGGCTGGAATAAATGCTTTTGATAGTCACATACGCTGAAGATTCAACCTGTTATTCAATTAATTTTGTTGATTCCAACTTCACGTTGTCTCAAAACCTAAGGAATAAGAAATAACCACATAAACAATCTTGCTTGGCTCCTGTAATTGCTTAACTTGCAAAGCTGAAGAGTGAATGAAGCTGAACAATTCAAGTTCAAAATGTCCCAGGTTTGATCTCTGCAGACAATTAGCTGATGTAAGGCAGGAGAGGCATTAGAGGGTACCAGTTACCACTGGAACCATATTCCATTATAAAATCAGAATAAGGGGGTAAAATTTGGGGATAGAGTGGGGTGGGGGAAGAAAATTCTCTCTTGTAGACATTTTCTTTCCACAAAGCTGCAGCTCAAACCAACATCAGGCAATGCTACTGTGTGTGTCAGCCTGGCTCAGTGGTAGCACTCTCTGAGTCAGAAGGTTGTGTGTTCAAGCCCCCACATGAGACTTGGAATCACAGGCTTCGCTGACACTCCAAGGCAGGAGTATCACGTCTTCATAATGTTGAACAACAAAATTACATTTGCATAGTACCTTTCACGTCGAGAGGACGTCCCAAGGTGCTGGACAGATAGTTTCAGACCCAAGCTGGGGGTCAGGATCGGGGAGGGTAGCGGGCGCGGGGGGGGGGAAGCAGGGTGATCGAAAGCACGGTCTAAGAGGGTCTTGAAGGAGGCAAGGGAAGGGGGCTAGTTTGAGGGACTGCCAAATGGAGTTCCAGAGGGTGGGGGTCGGGTGGCAGAAGGCCTGCCTGCCAATAGTGGGGCGAGTGAGGCGGGGGATGCGAAGCAGGCCGGAGCCCCCTGAGCCAAGGGAGTGAGCAGGACGATAGGGTGTTAGTAGGTCACAGAGGTAGGGGGAAGCAAGACCATGGAGGGCTTTGCAGACGAGGACCAGGATCTTAAACTGTATCCTCTGTGTGATGGGAAGCCACTGGAGTCGGGCGAGGATGGAGGTGATAGGGTCACGAAGTTTGGTGCGGGAGAGGACACCGGCTGCAGAGTTCTGGATGATCTGCAGCCTGTGGAGGGAGGAGTTGGGGAGGCTGACAAGCAATGAGTTTGCGTAGTGAAGCCTCGATGTAATGAAGGCGTGTATGAGTGTTTCGGCGGCCTGCGGCGTGAGACAGTGGCGGAGCCGGGCGATGTTGCAGAGGTGGGGTAAGGCAGAGCGGGTCAAGACGCAGATGTGGCGTGGGGTAGAAAGGATAGTTGAGGGACAAACAAGGTGACAAGGTTCTGGACTGGCTTAGCAAGGTGGAGTGTGCAACCATGGATGGTGATGCTGTCAGCGCCTGAGGTGAGGAGGCGCTGACAGGAGTCAATCAGGAGCCTCGGTCTTGTTGACGTTCAACTGAAGAAACTTTGCTCTCATCCAGGACTTGATGTCCAACAGACATTCTGTTGAAAACCTAGCTTTGCATTAAAGACTAGGGATTTCTAAATTAATAGCAAATATGCTAGTGTTAAAAGTTGTAAGCAAAGTTCATTTATAAATACAATTTATAAAAACGTCCTGAGAGCAATTGAAATGGTAGCCCTTAACTAAAGATCGTTTTGTGTGTGCATGCATTAGTCGAGTACTGTCAGCCTAGTTCAGCAGTATATTGTCAGAGGTGCTGTCCTTCAGATTAAACTGATATCCTGTCCGTTTGTTCAGATGGACATTAAAGATCCCATTGCACTGTATGCTTCTCCTGGTGTCCCGGCCAACATCAGACATAAAATTGATTATTCATTTCATGGCTGTTTGTGCAACAATGCTGTGCATAAATTGGCAGCCACATTCACCTACTAATACTGTAACAAATGCAAGGATTATTATATTATTATAATTTCACCCACAAAATATACAATCATTTCAATTTACAGTATATTCTGTGACGCGCTTAGAGATGTCTCGAAGATGTGATAAGGTGCTATATCAAATGCAAGGTTTATTATAATACATATTCACTGCAAGTTCCAGTAAATTCTGTGAAATTTGCACTGTGAAATATTTTAACATGATAAGGAGCTATATCGAATGCAAGGATTGATTTACAGTAAACTCCTGATAGATAACTCGTCACTTCAAAGGGAAAGAGATCAACAACGAGGCCCATAAAGGGATGGTGTAGCTGGTGTGGGCACTCAGTAGAGGATGGGATCGCATGCTCTGATGCATCGCACAGACAGCTAGTCTATCTGAGAGCCAATTGTACAGTAAAACTTGCACAAGTCTTATGTTTATAAATCGCATAAACACCTAAATCACACATTCACCCAAGTGACATTCAGTTTCCTATCAAAACCACTTAGATTTCTTTACATTACTCATATTACTCACCTCCTAAGTTGCAACAACACTTCACTGCTCTCAATTATTGGAGCCCTTGAATCGCTGAAATTACCCATCAATGCATGTGCACTTACTAGCCAGTGGATAGCAGCATTGAATCGCAGAAAGCATTGACTTGATCAGTCAACACATGCACAGAAGAAATTCATTTTCTGCAATTTAATGCAAATCTAATGTTTGCTGGTAAGTGCGCATGCGATGACGGGTCAAGACGCATTGAATCAGGGAAATGTAGTCTTAACCCTTCCAACCTGCCCACTCCCTACGTTCCCTAGGCGGCTCCCTTACATTCAGCGGGCTCCGGCCTGCTCCACATCTCCCGCCCGACCATCGGTGGCCGGGCTTTCAGCCTTTCTGTCCCCACACTCTGGAACTCCATCCCATGTTCCCTTCGCCTCGCTTCCTCCCTTGCCTCCTTCAATAATAATAATCCTTGCATTTGATATAGCGCTTTTCACGTCGGGAGGACGTCCCAAAGCGCTTCACAGAACACACTGTAAAGTGAATTGACTATATTTGTGGGCGAACGCGGCAGCCAATTGCGCACAGCAATGTCCCACAAACAGTCGTAGATTGAAAATGACCAATTTATTTTTATTATTGTTTTTGGTTTTGGAGGGATTATTATTAGGCTCTGTGTGGAGTAAGGAAACTTGCCCAAGGTTTCGCCCTCTGCCTGGGATTGAACTCAGGTCTCTCACTTGCAAAGCGAGTGCTCTAACCACTGAGCTACAAGACTCCTCAGGCCTGTCTCAAGGCCGGTCTCAAGACCCTTCTCTTCGACCGTGCCTTTGGTCGCCCTCCCACACCCTTAAGCCACCCCTCCTCCGACGCCTGACAATTCAGGACGCTTTGGGACATCCTCCCGACGTGACAGGCGCTCTCTATAGATGTAATTTCGTTGTTGTTGTTGTTAACCCGTCAGTGAATGCGCACTTGCCATGACGGATTACAACAACAACAAGATTTCATTTATAGAGCAGAGCGCCTTTCACGTCGGGAGGACGTCCCAAGGCGCTGTACAGTTGGGTCAGGACCCGAGCAGGGGGGGACATGGTCAGGGTGAGGGGAGGGAAGGGAGGGAGCGAGGAGGGGGGAAATGGTCAGGGTGAGGGGAGGGAAGGGAGGGAGCGAGGAGGGGGTAGAGAGTCGAGAGGGGAGCTGAAAGCAGTCAAAGAGAAAGTTCTTGAGACCGGCCTTGAAGGAGGAAAGGGAGGAGGCGGCGAAGGCACTGGGGGATAGAGTTCCAGAGCCTCGGTGCTGAGAGGCTGAAGGCCCGACCACCGATGGTAGGGCGGTTGGGGCGGGGGACGTGGAGCAGACCGGAGCCAGAGGAACGGAGGGTACGGGCAGGTAAGTTGGGGGATAGTAGGTCGGAGAGGTAGGAGGGAGCGAGGCCGTGAATGGCCTTGTAGCTGAGGATGAGGATCTTGAATTCGGATTACCGAGTGCGCCCTTACCGGCTACCGTTAAATTACACAAACACAACGGTCGACTGAACGCCAGTTGCCGCGGTGGTTGGACCAGGTGCCGGGAGGGCACCGCCCTCTCTGAGCCGTCGCCTCCGAGCGGGGCGATGAAGCTGCACACCTGCCCCCCCGGCAGCCCTGCGAGGCGCGGCCCCACGCCGAGGGCCGGGCGCTGGGCACATGATGCGAGTTGTTGTCATACAAGTTCAGCCTCGGAGCCTCCTCGCTCCACCCGTAGGAACGCCATCTATCTAATAATAATAATCCTTGCATTTGATATAGCGCTTTTCACGTCGGGAGGACGTCCCAAAGCGCTTCACAGAACACACTGTAAAGTGAATTGACTGTGTATTTGTGGGCGAACGCGGCAGCCAATTGCGCACAGCAATGTCCCACAAACAGTCGTAGATTGAAAATGACCAATTTATTATTGTTTTTGGTTTTGGAGGGATTATTATTAGGCTCTGTGTGGAGTAAGGAAACTTGCCCAAGGTTTCGCCCTGACCTGCCTGGAATTGAACTCAGGTCTCTCGCTTGCAAAGCGAGTGCTCTAACCACTGAGCTACAGGACTCCACGTACCCTGACTTAAGTTTGTCGATAACCGCAAACTGCTCTGAAGGGGCCGTCTGCCTCACCGCCCGTTATGAAGCAGTCGGTGTAAGGATGGGGGCGGGAGTGGAGGGGGAGGGAGGGGGGGAGGGGGAGAGGTCCTCACTCACCTCCCGTTTGTAGTCACGGCAACAGCACAGCACGAGAGGCGGCGGTTCCTCACCGCCACAACCTGCGCTCGCGGCAGCCGAACCGAACGATCATTCAGACACTTGTTGACCCCCTTTTTTTTTCCTTCCTTCCTCCCTCCTCCTTCTTCCTCCTCCTCCTCAGCTCAACGAGCAGGTACGGGAGTTAACGTCCGTTTTAAAAAGAAAGAAAGAAAAGAGCTGAGGGAAACGAAACGAAGCGCGCACCGAGAACCGTCCGCTGGCGGTCGGTTGCAGTCGGCGGCTGCGCGCGCACCCACGATTCCCCCCGGCACGGGACCGCCTCGACGGGAGCATGCGCGGTGCCTCCCCGATACCTCGACTCACGCGTGCGCACCAGCTCCAGCACCTCTTCTTCTTCTTCTTCTCCAACCAACCAACCAACCGTCTCGCTCTGGCCGAGGCGGCGCGAACGCCGCGCGTGCGCAGCCTCAACCGCCGTCAGGGTCGGAGTGACGTGCCACTGAATGCCCCCCCACTCCCTCCCACCCACCCTCCCTCCGTCCCCACCACGAGCCGGAGACCCAGCGCTCGTGTGCGTCTGCGGCGGGCGCCATCTTGGCCGTTTGCACTCCTCTTGCTTTCCCACCCTATCCGTCCGTCCGTCCCTCCGCTCTCTCTCTCTCTCTCTCTCTTTGATCCCAACACGTCGTAGGTTTTGGGGGGAGGAAAAGCGGGAAAGAAAAGAGGCGGACGGAGAGAGAACATTTTCTCGGTTTATATGTGTGTGTGTATATATATATATATATAGAGAGAGAGAGAGTGATACAGTAAAAGAAAGCGCGAGAGGGAGCCGGAGGCCCCACGGAGAGGGTGGGCGAGGGCTGGACGCCGTCGTCGTCGTCGCCGCCGCCGGTTGGAGTTGGAGGAGGTGGGGGGGCGACGAGAGCAGGTAAAAGGCACAAATGTCGTCCATCCGTCTCCCAGCACCGCCACGTCCACTAGGCCTTTCCATTCACACGGCTCCTGGGGAGGGGGTTTGCCGGGAGGGGAGGGGGAGGAGGAGGGGAGGGGGGGGAGGAGGGTGAACGTGGCTCACACTCTGTCTGAGAGGGAGGGCAAGGCTCGAGTCTTGAGAGGAGAGCCACGAGCGAGTTAACGTCCGGCTCTGGTTAGGCCTCTCCCTCCCTCCCACCCACTCACTCGCTCACTCACTCACTCTCGGGCTGTGGCGAGAGAGCCGCCGCTCCTGACCGCGAAATACACAGTCCCTCCACCTCAACTGCATGTTCTGTGAAGCGCTTTGAGACGTCTCGAAGGCGTGATGATGCGCTCTATGAAACGCAAGGCTTACAATGTGGTGAGAGGTGCCCACATGTCAGCCCGACAGCTGTGTGGCCACTCCTGCCCCCCGTAACGTCAAAGGCCCCTTCCAAAAGTTTCATAGTTTTTTTTCCTGCAACTCGTTTTTTATTTTTTGTGGGGGGGGGGGGAACCCCGCAGTGTTCATCTGTATACTGCCCTTCGGATGAGGCTTTAAACCGAAGTCTTGTCTGACTGTTCAGTTGGATGTTAAAGATCCCACGAAGCGCTTCGAGGCGTCTCGATGACATGATAAGATGCTATGTCAAGTTCAACGATTATTATTACTGGATAACTTTTTACAACGTGGTCGTTTGGTAGATTGCGCCTTTCAGCACAGTCGTGAGTGTTATCATTTGGATATTACTATATTAACATTGGGGACTTGCTGAGGGTTCGCAGTGTCTAATCGTTTTCACATCTTTTGTGGTTTCATGTGCCTTTCGGGAAGGATCTGAATGTTTCTGTTACCCAGAACAGATTTTTATTTAGGAGAAAGTATGATGATTTTTATTATTCCAGTTTGCTATCCCAGCCTGTTCTCCTGCAGTCCTTGCCATTTATTATTGAGATATCTGACCAAGTAACAGTACTGGTTGCATCTTTAATTGTTGTATGTTGTGATTGGCAGAGCTTTTGTGTATGTTTGCTGACAAAGTAAAATAGCAAAGGTACAATCAACCTCGTACAGCTGTAAATATCGTAGGTTGCATCATATTTAGCAAAGGATGGTGGTAGTGATAAAATCAATTACTCATTTTAGGTGTTAGTAATGTCTAATACCTGAAATTTATAATTGGTGATAACATTTGTGGCAGCATATTTATATTCAGTAGATAGGTTGAGGTCCTTGTGCACATATTTACCTTTTTGAAAAAAACTCCTTGTCCGGGTGAATATTTGTTATTATAATGAGTAAAATTGTAATAATTGTAGCAGATGGGAGCATTTTTGTTGCTGTATTCATAATAGCTTGGATTTTCAGTGCAATAGGTACATTTACCACATTCTGTAAACAGACAGCTTGTTTTCGTGCTAGCAGTGTAGTGGAGTTGACATCCTCTACACAGAAACACAATTGACATACCAGCAATGCTAACTAAAGGTGATCCATTTCCTGAACCTGTAAAGGAAAAAATCTGCTGATTATTGTTCTGAAAATGATGTACATGTCTGCCCCACCTTAATGTAGCTTAGTCATTGTTTAGCAAGTTAGATCATTGACATTATTCTCCAAATGAACCACCTAGTCTAATCCCATTGAGTCCTGTAGCTCTGGTTAGAGCCTCGTCTCGCAAGTGAGAGGACCTGGGTTTGATTCCTGGGCAGAGTGAAACCCTGGGCAAGTTTCCTTATTCCACATGCCTCTGTTTACCTAGCAGTAATTAGGAGCCTGTTTATTAGTCAGTTAGCAGATTGCTTTTCTGGAGGTACTAATCCCTTAGAAAAAATACATATAATTTGGTCATTTAATCCACAACTGCTGGGACACTACTGTGTGCAATTGGCTGCTGCGTTTTGCCCACAAAACAGTCCATTCACTTTACAGCATATTCTCTGAAGCGCTTTGAGACGTCTAGAAGATGTGATAAGGGTCTATATCAAATGCAAAGATTATTATTTGGCTTGGGGGTGTATGAAATTCATAAGAATACCGTACAACAGATAACGTGTTGCCCCTTAAGTAGTGTTTTTTTAAATATGTGACGTGCTACAATTGTTGCAAGCTAAATTGATTTTGTTGCCTTTCGTTTACATTAACAATGTTAATGTTGGATTAATATTGCTAAATTAAAGATGATAACAGCTCTTATTAAAATTCTAAAAATACAATCTTTTCAAAGAACTTCACATTTGATAATCTCAGTTGGATTTGAGATTAGATGATGAGAAAATAGCTCCCGCACTATGCCATATTGCTGCTTTTTTCAATTAAATAATTTCATGTGTGTCAGCCTGACTCAGATGGTAACATTCTTTGAGTCAGAAGGTTGTGGTTCAAGGCCCACATATAGTCTGGGCTGACACTCCAGTGCAGTGCTGGAGGTTTGCCACATTGTCAGAGGTACAATCCTTCAGATTAGACGTTGAATCGAGATCCATTTACCTGTCCGGGTGGATGTTAAAGATCCCACGGCAGTATTTGAAAAGGGAAGGGAGTTTCTTCTGATGTTGTGGCCAACAATCCCCTAAATAAAATGTATCACTCATTATATGGCTGTTCATGGGACATTGCTGTGCAAATATTGGCTGCCACAAAATCGCCCACGAAATATACAATTTTGGACTACTTTACAAATCATGTGAAGTTGTTTGAGAAGCCCTGATTCTTCTCAAACCCAATTATTATTATTAAAATTCTTAATGCAGTTTATCAGATTTGGTGTAATGCTGTATTATAGATATGTTTAACATGTATTGTATAATCTACTTTGTAGCTAACTAATTTTTTTCTATTTTTTTCCCTTTTTGTAGTATTGTTCAGCCAGGCACATTACAGCACGTTTTCTGCTAAGATATAAGATCGCTCAAACAATATGGCAGATAAACTAACCCGAATTGCTATCGTCAGCCATGATAAGTGTAAACCCAAGAAATGCCGCCAGGAATGCAAGAAAAGCTGTCCTGTTGTTCGGATGGGTAAGCATAGTTGTCTTTTATTCAATTGCCTTATTTAGATGCAAGAAAACAATTTTAACATTTTATCAAGATGTTTGGGAAATGTTTTTGTGAAAAGGGACTGATTATCAAAATAATGACCTTTTCAGTAACTTTGGTGAACACAGTAGCAGCCTAGTTGAGAGTATAAACTTGTATTTGGAAATTATTCATGTTTCTGCAATTGGAAAATAATGTAGCAACCGTCCTGGTGCCCCTGCATAGATTGACAATCCTAACCTTTTGAAAGTCAGTTTGGTTATCAAGCAGAAGTATGGAAAGGACTGCCAACAATCGACACTATTGCATCATTTAACCAGGCTATATATTTAAAGAGATTATTTGGTAATCTCGTTGACAGTGTTTAATTTTTTCTGTTTCTTTCCCCACAAACATTCCCAAATAGGTTGAGCAGATAAATGTCTCCTGGGTACCTGGCCACGCGACACTCAGTATAACCACTAAGTGGTGTATGAGAGCAACCTTTCAACTTTCTCTCTGTGTAGTGCTTTGCTGTGTCAGATCAGTGTTGCAGTTATATTTTGTTCCTTTGCTCATCATACTAAACGGAGATCGTACAGGTCTGTTGTAATTCAGACTGTTAAAGAAACCATGGTACTGTTTAGAAGATCAGGGAATTGTCATTCCTCAATACTCTCATACAAATTGACTGTACATAAATTGTTTATTTTTTGCTATTTGTGGAGTGACCCATGTTAGCTCCTCCCTCCATAGACTGCAGATCATCCAGAACTCTGTAGCCTGTGTCCTCTCCCGCACCAAACTCCATGACCCTATCACCCCCATCCTTGCACAACTCCGCTGGCTTCCCATCACACAGAGGATATAGTTCAAAGTCCTGGTCTTCACCTTCCGAGCCTTCCATGGTCTTGCTCTACCCCCCCCCACCCCCTTTCCTCTGTGACCTCCTACCATCCTGCCCACTCCCTCCGTTCAGCAGGATCCGGCCTGCTTTCCATCCCCCATTTCGCTTGCCCCACCATGGGCGGGCCTTCTTCCACTCTGCCCCCACCCTCTGGAACTCCATCCCGCAGTCCCTCCGCCTCACCCTCTCCCTTGCCTCCTTCAAGACCCATCTCAAGACCCTCCTCTTCGACTGCGCTTTTCAATCACCCTGCTTCATCCCCCTGCCCTCCACCCTCGCCGATCCCGACCCCCAGCTCACATCCAAAACTCTGACTGCCCAGCGCTTTGGGGCATCCACCCGATGTGAAAGGCGCTATATGAATGTAATTTTGTTGTTGGAAAGGGCTGTGAAAAACGCTAATAATCTGGCTTTTATACATAGGGGTATGGAGTACAAAAGCAAACAAATAATGCTGAGTATGCACAAATCATTGGTTAGGCGGCAACTGGAATGCTGCTTTCAATTTTGGGCATCTCAGTTCAGGAAATATGTTAAGGCCTTGAAGGAGGTTCAGAAGAGATTTGCAAGAATGTTATCAGGATTGTGGGGCTTTTGTTATGAGGATTTGTTATGAGATTGGAGAAGTTTGGTCTTTAACTGGAGCAGAGAAGGTTGAAAGGGGACCTGATAGAGCTGTACAAAAGTATGAAGAGTTTTGACAGGGTAAATAGGGAGAGGTTATTTCTGCAGGTAGGGGGTCAGTGACTAGGGTCCATAGGTGTAAAACAGTCACAAGAAGAACGAAAGGAGCGCATAGGAGAAACTTTTTTCACTCGAGTGGTTGGGATGTGGAATGTCATTTTACTTGGCAGGATATTCCATAGACTCAATGGGCCGACTAGCCTTGTGCTGTAAATTTCTGTGATTATATGAACACATTTGATGGTTGAACATAAGTAACCTGTTATAGTGAACTTTTTTTTTATTACAGCAAAAGCTTTAAAACTGCTATAAGGTAGTGAAAGTTGGGCATCTCAGTGAACCTATTGTTGACTATGTGAGTTTATGAAAACAAAGATTCTGGTCCACAGTAAAGGAGCATCTGTTTTAAAGTTGGCATCTACTATTTGTAAATGTTATTGAATCTCTTTTGAGATCACACTGAGGTCCACAATGGAGTCCTGTACCATATAGTGTATTAGTTAGAGCACTCGCCCCACAAGCGAGGGAATCCCAGGTTTCATTCCTGGGCAGGGTAATACGTTAGGCAAGTTTCCTTACTCCACATGGCTCTATTTACATAGCAGTAAGTAGGAACCCGGTTAATAATAATAATCCTTGCATTTGATATAGCGCTTTTCACGTCGGGAGGACGTCCCAAAGTGCTTCACAGAATATACTGTAAAGTGAATTGACTGTATATTTGTGGGCGAACGCGGCAGCCAATTGCGCACAGCAATGTCCCACAAACAGTCGTAGATTGAAAATGACCAATTTATTATTGTTTTGAGTTTTGGAGGGATTATTATTAGGTGTGTGGAGTAAGGAAACTTGCCCAAGGTTTCGCCCTGACCTGCCTGGAATTGAACTCGGGTCTCTCACTTGCAAAGCGAGTGCTCTAACCACTGAGCTACAGGACTCCACCTGAACTACAGACTCCGGTTGTTAGTCAGTTGGTGGATCTAGGAAGTCAGTCAGCTTCTCCCAGAAAGTTCTTCCAATAATAACTTGCGTTTTTTGTAAATGAGTGGATAATAAATCTAATATGCAATCTAATTAAATCTCGGCTTTCTAATGATCATTTTGGAGTTTGTCTGCTATTCTCTTGTACATTAATGTATTGGATCTTTATATTGGAAAAAATATGAATTTAGGTATTGGTGGAAATTGTTTTAGTATCATTTGCTTAAAAGATAGTTGATGACAGCCATCCTGGATAATTTTGAATCCTGACTGAAGTTATTTTTCTCTTCACTGCAGGAAAGCTGTGTATTGAAGTTACTGCTCAGAGTAAGATAGCCTGGATTTCAGAAACACTCTGTATTGGATGTGGTATTTGCATTAAGGTAAATGGAGTTGGGTACATTTTTGCTATCATTTGCTAATGATTAAGAAATTAAATGCATTATTTTTTCAAACACAATTTGTTTTGAAAATATTTATTCATTAAATAAATGCTTTTCTTGTAATAAATTGTTATCGTGAAATGTTAAAGCTCAGTTGTCGATTGAAACTAACAATTTTAATAATATCCTGGATTGTTGTTTCATGTTTCAGAAATGTCCTTTTGGAGCTTTGTCAATTGTTAATCTGCCAAGCAATTTAGCTAAAGAGACTACACATAGATATTGTGCAAACTCCTTCAAGCTTCACAGGTAAAGTAGGGTATGAGAAAAATCTGAATAAGTTGGGAGAGTTGTAGAACTGTTTATATGCAAGATAGTGGTTAACTTGGTCTAACAAACTCCTATTACTGCCAAGTGTATAACATGCTTAGTTATGTCCTTGATTTGCCAAAAAGGTAAATGGGTAGAGTCTGATCTCATTGTTTTTGTTTATTCTATGGGAATAGTAGATTAGATAGACACTAATTACTTATTTTCTTATGTGCTTCATGTTCTTATAATTGTTGATACTGTACTGTAAAGTCCAAACATAGCTGAGACCAATCAGTAACATTAATTTTTTTTCTTTAAAGATCACATTGGTGATAGCAACCTGAAGGGTTTAATTTTTTTTAAGAAACTTGAAATTGGGTTTGCATGCAACATGTATGACCATGCCAGTATTTCTTTTAAATCACAATTATTTGAAATTTTTAAGAAGTGCTTTTGAACTAACAACATTTGATTTAAAAAGAAGCAAGACTATTGTATGGAGAAAGAAATTTGTATAAACTGCATGATATTTGCAAGAGTAAAGCAATGTTATTCTTCCTGTCGATATTCTATAATTGCCATCCAATTATTGTTGAATCTTGATGTATGCATTCTATTTTATGTTAAAACTTTGGTATAAGTTTACCTGAGGAAATAGAATTTTTAATAAAAAAATTCTGGTGTAGAAGAGTAGATTATGCTCCCTTTCAGCCTTTTTTCACTCTTCCTTAATCTCCCAAGTGATGCAGGGTTTTAGAACAATTTAGAGAACAGCTTTTGAGCATAATACTACGCAGTACAACACTTAATTCCTGCATATTATATAGTGCTTTATTCACATTGTCTAAAACAAAGAGCTTCACAGAATTTACTGTGTATTTGTAGGCGATCGGACCAGCCAGTTTGTACACAATCATGTGTCCCACAAAGGTTGTTGTGAATGACCACTTATCTGAAGGATTATTTGCCCAAACTGTACACTAAAAATTGTGCATTTCCTTGCTTCTCCATTAATGATTTAATATAGGTTGCCTATTCCTCGTCCTGGTGAAGTTCTGGGTTTAGTGGGAACAAATGGTATTGGAAAATCTACAGCTCTGAAGATCCTAGCAGGAAAGCAAAAGCCAAACCTAGGAAAATATGATGTGAGTCTTTCGGGCCGGTAAGATATGGAGGGAGGTTCTGAACCTTAGTAAATGGTGATTTTTGTCATGTAGAAACAATCGTTGGCTTCAAAATATGGAATAGTTTTAATATGTTGTTGAGAAATTTTGCAAATGTGATTTTGATGAGCTTGATACAAATGGTACAAAAAACACCTGTGACTGATAAGTATGGTGAATTGAGGCTGTTATAATGCAGGTAATCCAGTAAATGCATTGGAGAACTTGTATCTAGCTACATACATTACTTGTGTCTTTTTGATATAGATATTACAATTGGTATAAATCTCTGTTTCTAACGTTAATGAAGAATAATGTTGATGTTTAAGAATACACGAATCACAAGTATTTGTTTTTATTGTCCAAAACCTCTCCAAAAGAAAGCTAATCTATTTTAAGTGATTATTCTTTTCATAAATTGAAATCTAGTGATTCCCATTGCAGGATCCTCCTGACTGGCAAGAGATTCTGACTTACTTCAGAGGTTCTGAGCTACAGAACTATTTTACTAAAATTCTAGAAGATGACCTGAAGGCCATTATTAAACCCCAATACGTGGACCAGATCCCAAAGGCTGTGAAGGTAATTTTTTGGGGGGCAAAGACTTTTAACATACATGTTGAACCGTAATCTAAGCAATTAAAAGAAAACAATTGCAGCTATAGCAGTTTGGCCTTCCACCCGCGGAGATCCTGAAGCAGCCGTCCAGCTGCTCCATGATCGCCTCTCACCCACTTTCAACTCCCTCGTCCCCCTAAAATCCAGGATCATCTCCAAACCCACCCGATCTCTCTGGGACAACAACCATCTCCGCCGCCAAAAAACCCAAACCCGGCTGCTCAAGCGCAGATGGTGGAAAACTGGCGTGACAGTTCATCACCAACTGTGGCTCGAGCATCTCCGCAGCTACCGCCGTTCTTTTAACGCGCAAAAACGGCCTTCTACTCCAACATCATCTTGGGGGCTAAACACAAACCCAAAATCCTTTTTTCCACCACCCACTACCTCCTCCATGCGCCCCCTCAGGCCTCTTCAATCTTCATATCAAATGCCAAGTGCAAGGAGGTCATGGATTTTTCAACTAAAATACTGAACATCTGCCAGGCAGCCTCATCCACCAGCCCTTGTCACCCACCACCACACTCTCTCTGTCCCCCTCATCATCTGCTCCTACCACCACCCCCTTTCTACACTCTTTCCTCCCCATCTCTCCCTCCTCTCACCCATCATCACCTCCATGAAGCCCACCACCTGCTGCCTCGACCCCCTCCCCACCAACTTACTGGTCACACAGCTCCCCATCCTCTGCCCACTACTGGCTGACATCAACCAGTCCCTCTCCTCCGGATCAGTTCCTGCCTCCCTCAAAACTGCTGTCATCACCCCCCTCCTAAAAAAAAAACCCTCCCTAGATCCCTCAAACCCCAGCCACTACTTCCCTATTTCTAACTTGCCCTTCCTCTCAAAAGTTCTAGAACATGTTGTTGCCAACCGACTTCACGCACATCTCTCCTCTCACTCCCTCTTTGAACCCCTCCAGTCCGATTTCCGCGCTGCCCACGGTACAGAGACTGCGCTTGTGAAAGTCACAAACGACATCCTCTCTATCTGCGACCAGGGCTCCCTCTGCCTCCTTATCCTCCTGGACCTCTCTGCCGCGTTGGACACAGTCGATCACGCCATCCTCCTCCACCACCTTTCCTCCGTCACCCACCTCAGTGGGACCGCACTCGCCTGGTTTGAGTCCTACCTCACAAACCGCCAGCAGTACATCTGCACAAACGGCTTCTCCTCCCACTCTCACCCGGTCACCTGTGGGGTACCCCAAGGATCCATCCTTGGCCTCCTCCCCTTTCCGATCTACATGCTCCCTCTTGGGGATGTCATCCGCAGTACATTTCCATGTGTATGCAGATGACACCCAACTCTACTTTTCCACCTCTCTTTGCTACCCCCAGTCCCCTGATGTTCTGTCAGCCTGCCTGTCAGATCTTGGGCTGGATGAGCGCAAATTTCCTTCAGCTGAACGTTGACAAGACGGAAGCCATACTCTTCGGCTCTCGTCAACATCTAAAATCTCACGGCTCTTACCTCCTCCACCTACCCGACCTCCCCCTAAAACTCTCCGAACCCGTACGCAACCTAGGCGTCAGGTTCGACCCCCGGTTCTCCTTCCTCCCCCACATTCGGTCCCTCACCAGCACCGCCTTCTACCACCTCCGATGCATCGCCCGTCTCCGCCAATACCTCTCCCCAAAAGCCGCTGAAAGTCTGGTTCATGCCTTTGTCACCTCCCGGCTGGACTATTCAAACACCCTCCTCGCCGGTCTCCCATCCATAAAATCCAATTATTCAGAACTCTGCCGCCCGCATTCTCACCCACACAAAACTCCGCTCCTCGATCACCCCAGTCCTTGCCAGACTACACTGGCTCCCTATATCCCAGAGAGGATCGATTTCAAGATCCTCACCCTCGTATTCAAGTCCCTGCACTCCTCTGCACCCCCCTACCTCTCTGATCTCCTCTCTCCTCAGCACAGTACCCGTTGCCTTCGTTCATCCGTTTCTGGCCTCCTCCTCGTCCCCCGAGGCCTCCGCTCCACCCTCAATGGCTGTGCCTTCAGCCACTATGCCAAGAGGTTCTGAAACTGCCTTCCTCACTCCCTTCGTCTCGCTCCCTCCCTTCCCATTTTCAGGTCTGCTGAAGACCTTTCTTTTCGACCGCGCCTTTGGTCACCTTCCCACCCCTCCCCCTGGCTCGGTCCCGGGATCCTAAACTGCAAAGCGCTCTGAGACGCCGTCCGGCGTCGAGGGCGCTATATAAATCCAAATTGTTGTTGTTGTTCTGTTGATTCTTCTGATCTTGCTAGTTGTGCGTGGATTGGCATTTGCATCAAAATTCAGCATGAGACAGTTTTGTACTGTTTTGTGTAATTAATTGCAGAACATGGCTGCAGATAACCATTGGAACAAGCAATCAAATGGAATCTCAAGTTAGCAAATCCACAAGGATAATTGATCTGGTGAATGGCAAATGTTGCAGAGTGCATCAGCTGGTGAGGTTAGAATTAAAGCCCATTGTTGGGGCAGAGAGAGAGCTTGGATATTAAGCATTTATATTTGAGGGTGAAATTATACTAAATGTGCAATTAATTAGACACTTACCTTTCCATATCATTTTGGCAGGGCACCGTGGGTTCCATTTTGGACAGAAAAGATGAGACCAATACACAGAAAACCATTTGTGCACTTCTTGGTAAGTAAAGTGCAAAAAGTTTTAGGGCATATTCATGTAAATGTCATTGCCCTTTCGCATACATAATGATGCTGTGCGTTGTCTTGATCTAAATCAATGATTGATTTAGGTTGCCTGTTCTTCACCTTGATGGAGTTCTTGGTTCAGTGGGAGCAAGAGGCAGAATTAAAGACTCTTGAAATGTCATAATTCCTCCTGTTGCACAATACAGAACAATTTTTTCAAGATGGTGATATTTTAATTAAGAGGGAGTTTTGCTCTTGGTGTCTGTTTTAAAAATCAAGTCGAGCTCAAAAAATGTTTCGCATCTATAACTGAAAGATTATTTTTGAGGCAGAATCCAAGTTCATGGAATTACTGAACAGAAATTGTCAGTGGATAATGACATAAACCTGGAGCGATTCTCTTATTCACTATTATTAATAATAAGCCTTGCATTTGGTATAGCCCCTTTCACATTAGGATGACTTCCCAAATCACTTCACAGGATGTTTACTGAAACAAATGACCAAGTTTATTTTTGACTGTTACAATCTGAGCCAGATTGGAATATCTCTTTCATCTCCATACATTAGTATGTCAGTTTGGCTCAGTTGGTGGATTGTGAGCCAAAGCCCCCTGTTGGAGCTGGATCTCAAATAGTCTATGCTGACACTCCAATGCAATTCTGCGGTTGTGCTGCATTGTCGATCAGGTGAGACATAAAACTGAGGTCCCGTCAGCTGATCAGGTGGAGACTAAAATCTCATGGCGCTATTTGAAAAGAGAAGGCAATTTGTCTCATTGTCCTGGCTGACAATTCCCCCAAATTTGCTCACTCAGATGGATGTTTTGGGAACATTGCTTTGCAAAAATCGTCTACTGCGTTCTCCCACAAAATACACACAGTCACACCACTACAGTTTGAAGCAGTTTGAGACATGCTTCCAAATTCAGATAATGTCTCTGAATGTAATTTGTCATTGCATTTGGTACAGCGTTTTAATCACATTGTCGAGATATCTCAAACCTCTTCACAGGATTTTATTATAAAGTGTAGTCACTGTATTTTATAGGCAGATGCGGCACCCAGTTTGCGCACAGCAATGCCCCACAAACAGCCATTATATCAAATTCAAGGATTATTAATTATCCAAAAGATTTTGAAAGCTAATTTTCATCTGTGCTTTTTAAGGGTTATTGCTATTGGTTGTGGTGTAATGTAAAATAGATTATTATTTGTAATGTTTTAGTGGTACAGGAGGATTTGAACGTAGTTGGGAATTGGGCAGATGAAATTCAATGTGGAGAAATGTAAAGTACTTCACATGGGGACAAAAAATCCTGGAAGGGATATTATTTGAAGGAAAATAATATGCTTGGAAAATGAAAAGGACCTGGAGGTCCTGATTGCAATAAATTGAAGCTCTCCCAACAATGCTCTGTGGCAGTGAGTAAAGCAAACCAGATGTTGGAATGTATCAAAAGATCAACAGCAAGCCAAAATAGTGGGGTAATTCTGCCATTGCATAAATCATTAGTGAGACCATACTTAAAGTACTGTGCATAGTCCTGGTCACTGGAGTACAAAAAGGATATTGGAGAAATCGAGAGGGCATCCAAAATGATTGAGGGAATGGAAGGACTGGACTATGAGGAGCAACCTAAGTAAATTGGGCATGTTCACCCTGGAAAAGAGAAGATTGAGAGGCGACATGGTTGCTGTCTAAGATTCTAAAGGGGCAAAACAATATAGATCATGACAGGCTGTTTCAACTTGTCCAGAATAGTAAAACCAGAGGTCACGGCCTGCAATTGAAGAGGGTTAAATTCAGAACAAATCCACACAAACACTATTTCAGTGAGCGAATAGTGAACCTGTAGAACAGGCTCCCTAGGTATATGGTTGAAGCAGGAAGTGTTGATTCTTTCAAACACAGATTAGATAGTTTTCTTTTAGGATATGTTATGGGATATGTACATAGGTAGTTCGAGACATATGTGCATGCGACTGCCAGGAAGGTGGAAGGCAAACTAGATAGATCTTGGTCTTTTTTCATCTAGCATTTTTGTATTTTTGGATATTGATAAATGTCCTCTACAGATCTGACTCATTTAAGGGAGAGGAATGTTGAAGACCTCTCTGGGGGAGAGCTGCAGAGATTTGCGTGTGCTGTGGTGTGCATTCAGAGAGCAGACATGTAAGTTTAAAGTACTTATTAATCTTTAGTATCTTATTTGAAGTGCTCCCAGGTTCCATCTGTGCTGCTCTTTAGCTGCAATAGGGAAATGTGCACAAAATGCCAGTGTTAATGCTCCTAATTTAATCTTTACAAAGTACTTACAGGGTGAGCTTCCTGTGAATGGGATTTTAGCCAGAGTTGGGAAATCGTCCCTTTATCTGTGACAGACCCTACTTCTTCGGCCGCTCCTTCCACTCAGCCTGTTTCATGATCCTACCTAATTTGCCCCACCATTGGTGGGAGAGCTTTCAACCATTCTGCCCCCACTCTTTGCGTTCTCTGTCTTTAAAGCCTTTTATTTTCTAATGTGCTTTCAGTCACCTTCTCTTACTGCCTTTCTTTTCACATAATACCTTATGAATTATGAACAGTATTACATAGTATAAAGAGTGAAAATAAGATTTAATTTGTTTCTATTCTTTGTCGATCTAACCATGATTATTGTAATAGTGTTTTCTAGTGTGATGGTATGTAGGCTTTTATCTCAAAGTACTATTGCTGCATTATATTGAGGCAGCAATGAATTTTTTTCCTGAAGAATGTTTTTAATTTCTGAGAGGAATTTGAGGAATTACCATGGAAACTTCTTTTCCCACAGTTTCATGTTTGACGAGCCCTCCAGTTATCTAGATGTTAAGCAGCGTTTGAAGGCTGCCATTACAATTCGCTCCCTTATAAACCCAGACAGGTAAGCTGCAAGTATCAATTGCTGTGGCAGGGAGTAACAGTGTTATAGAACTTGGCATTGAAATTATTTTGTAAGAATTTATTTCTGCAGGTATTTTAATGTTTCTATGTTTAAATATTTCTATGTTTAAATATTGAGTGGTTATCTTGATATTCAATGGTGTTGGTGAAGTTGAACTGAATGCTGTTGACAACTGGGAAAGTTAAAGGCTGTTGTGTGACAAACGGAATGGGTATTGCTGCAGCCCTGTGTTCTCTGCAAATGTGATAGAACACAAAATAAAATGAAAAATACTGCATAAAATCATTATAAAACAAACAAGGAGGCCATGCCATGGTTCCCTTTAAGACTTGACTGACTGGTTCATTGTCCAGTTGGGTGAGGATGCCCCAACAAGCAGCCTACTAGACCAGAAGTGGAGGGGTGCCCTTGAGGAATTGGACGAGGGGTTGCTTGGAGGACGAGCTGTGGTCCTTCTCACAGCTATGTTTTTTTTCCTCTCCTCCTCTTAAAAGAGGCATTCTGCACAAGGAAGCTACTCACATTGTGGGAATTTGACACATGGAATGTATATATCATTTGAGGTATTTTATCAATGTAAATTAAAAAGAAATAAAACATGTTTAATGGGTAAAACAAAATGATACAAAATTCTTGAAAAATATAATTAAAACTGTATTAAGAAAAATTATTTCATGGGGTTCTAGCTATCACTACCTGATTTGATCATAAAACAAATTGTAACAAGGTGGTCTGTGCAGCTTCACTATTAGAAAATAAACCATAAACCACATGCTTTAATTGTGTCTTAGGGTATCAGCACCATTAGAAACCAAATCTGCTACCTATCACAGAGCACTTCACCTTCTACCTTCTGAAATAGATGTTGGGAACTGAAAGAAGTAGAACAGTTAGAAAGTAGTAAAAATATATAAACTGATATCTGAGGAATTAATGAAGGACTGTATTCTTTTATGGTTTGTAGCTAGTGTGACCAATTAGTTAAATGTTGTATGATGTGGGTTTTAAATATTTGATTTGTTTGTCAACTGAGCTTTGAAAGAAATTATGTGGAATATCTTTTGAACTTATAACTATGATTTCATGAACTGAAAAATGTAGTTTGTTTGACTTTCTTGATTTGAGTGATATGATGTAAATACAAGTTATTTGAATGGTAAAGGTTTGAAAGGAAAACATAATACCTCTACAAATTTTCTTAATGAATTTAGTAATGGTTTCTTGTAAAACATAATATGTTCTTTTTGTAATTAGGTATATCATAGTAGTGGAGCATGATCTGAGTGTGCTCGACTACCTTTCTGACTTCATTTGCTGTTTGTATGGTGTGCCAAGTGCATATGGTGTTGTCACTATGCCCTTCAGCGTACGAGAAGGTAAGCCGATATGAATTTAAAAATGTCTTCTTAATAAGCTGCTCTTTACAGCTTTGTGTGTCGATTTACTAAAAGCATATTGTTTGAAGTAAGACTAAGAAGGACATGCATTTCTCAACAGGGATCAATATATTTTTGGACGGGTATGTGCCAACGGAAAACTTGAGATTTCGAGACGCTTCTCTGATTTTCAAGGTAGCTGAAACAGCCAACGAGGAAGAAATCAAGAAAATGTGCAGATACCATTATCCCCGAATGAGAAAGAAAATGGGCGAGTTTGAACTGGAGATTGCAGCTGGAGAATTCACAGATTCTGAAATCATGGTGATGCTTGGAGAAAATGGCAAGTGCTCTATCACCCGTTGTTTGGCTTTCATTATAGACAACTCTCAACACTTGATGTCTGTTGCAGAATACAACGAAACCCCGCCGTAACACGCCTCACTATTAATGAGGATTCGCATATAACACGGTTGCACTGTGGACCTTGTTTAACGCACACACGCGGAGCCTTCCTGCTCGCTAGTTGTTTTGTTTGCGCGAGAATGGCCAACCTCCAGTTCATTAGGTTGATATCCCTGCTTCTGGGTCAGTTAATTTTGATGTAAAATGTCCAATTATTGAATTTGTTACAGGGACCGGGAAGACTACATTCATCAGAATGCTAGCTGGAAGATTGAAGCCTGACGAAGGAGGTAATTCATTATTTATCTTAGCAATTGATGCTGTTGAATGGTAATATTTTCTGTTGACTCTGAACTAATGACTTTGTACTGTATAACCAATATAAATGTATTGACAGGTGAAGTGCCTGTTCTAAATGTCAGCTACAAGCCGCAGAAAATCAGCCCCAAGTCTCAAGTAAGTAGCAACGTTTTCCGATCTTTTTCCAATCTATTCATGAAAAAAGATGGAAGGGTCTTTCCAGACCCTCTGCAGGAACTGAAGTCCAGTCTAGATCAATGTGGCAAATGTTTGCGAAAAGTTGATTCTATTTAAAATACAATGCAGTTTATGTTCTAGCACTGGTAGTTTACAACACATATTGGGTCCAAGTCACTGTGCACAGCTGGCCCGATCACATCCCGCGTGCCAGCCAGCGTCCGTGCTAAAATGAGCCGACGGCCGGGTCATTGAATTGCTGCCAGTGTTGCTTCCTATTACATGCTCAGCATACAGGAAGTGACATCGGTGGGTGCCCAGACAGTCGGCCATTTGGGCTTTCCGTGCGCTAAAAACGACTGGTTTCCTGGTCATCAGGTTGTCATCAGACCCTGTGTGCTGTACCATGAGAAACACAAGAAATGACATCAGCGCCCATCTGATCATCCAAATTGGCCAAAAACAGCCAGAGTGCAGAAAGCAAGCTGGCCAGCTGCACACATGACTGAAACCAGCTATTGTGGCCTTGTTACAGACCGGTTGAGATTCTGTAGAACCCCAACTACCATCCTGTAGCAAAATACCACTGTAATTGTAACTGCTTGGCTCTGAGGCAAAGAGTTAAGTTCAGAAATGTTCCTGTATTTCATCCTGATATCCAAATGCACATTAGAGCCAGCCATTTTCTTCATGAATGCAAGCCTCAACTGAAAGTTCCTCAGGCTAGAATTTCCACTACATTGAAGTCTAAAAGTCTTATCCTGATATGCCTTTGTCATAAAATTTTCATGTTTGTCTGCTAATCTTCTTGTAGAAATCTACATATATTCATTTGAACATAAAAGCCAGTTTAAAAAAAACTCATAGGTGGTACAACCTTTGTTTACAATGTTCATGAGCGTTTAAAAAATGCCTCTACTTTACTCCCTAGGGAAGTGTTCGTCAGCTGCTCCATGAAAAGATCCGTGATGCCTACACTCATCCACAGTTTGTGACTGATGTCATGAAACCACTTCAGATTGAAAGTATAATTGATCAGGAGGTACCGTACAATTTGTAGTATAATCTAGAAAGAGCAGAATTTCTCCAGAGAGATGTTTATTTGATGATATGTGCCTTTATTGAGCCACCACCAAAGCTTTTCTATCAGATTGGAGGAATTTAATTTGATTTTAAATTGTGGGCATTCCTGTACTTATTATTTGAGTATAAGAATTTATTTTCTTTCTTGGGTCAACATCCACTATCCCAGGCAAGGGAATGAGCTGGTAACTTTGTCTCAGCAATATCACTCTGAAGTGGGTGTACAAGAATGAGGCTTGGTAAGTCTGTTCAATTACTTACTTATGGGGCAAGCATCTCCCCTGTGCTTGGTGAGTCCCCATAATTATGGCTGAAGTCAGTGTATTAGCATATAACCTAAACCTCCAAACTATCTTTGTAGCAGAGCAATTTAGCTTTGAGCATTTTACAATAACACAGTACACTTGCGCTCTGTTGAGTCTATGGGTGTAATTTACTTTCACTGCATTAGCCTTTTTTTTTCCATTTCTTTGCCTCCTTAAGTGACTTTTGGTATGAATTCTCTTTCAATTTCTCCAATGAATAAGGAAACTTTTCACAACTTTGGTTGTTTTTTGTCTAAACAGGTCCAGAATCTGTCTGGAGGTGAATTGCAACGAGTGGCACTGGCTCTTTGCCTGGGTAAACCTGCAGATGTCTACCTGATTGATGAACCATCTGCGTACTTGGACTCTGAGCAGCGTCTAATGGCTGGAAGGGTAATCAAGCGGTAAGTGTTTTATTTGGAAACTGAACTAGTCGTTACTATTATTCATACTGTTTACCCAGTTGTTTTAGTAAATGGTGCATCACTGTTCTTTCAGCTTCATCCTTCATGCTAAGAAAACTGCCTTTGTTGTTGAACATGACTTTATAATGGCGACCTATCTGGCTGACCGTGTGATCGTGTTTGATGGAGTGCCATCTCGGGACACCTTAGCTAATGCGTAAGTCATGTTTTATTGCTTTAAATGAATATTCATCTGAGCAATTAGGAATACAATTTATGTTGTATGAATGCTTGAAAAACTCATTTTATACATCTGTTAAAAGGCATATTTAAGGTAAAGATAACAAGTTGTGACATTTACTTAAGAATTTAATTTAAGCTATGAATTGATGCTTGGAGAGGTGAATCACCAAAAGATGAATTTCATGCAAGTCCTAAATTACCTAAATGAGAATTCTGGTTTGTTTTGGGGGAAAATTGTGGGTTTTTTCTAAATCTATCCACCTGGATTTGTGAGAAATTAGTAGGTTTTTTTGGCAAGCTTTAAGGAAAATATAACGGCCAGTGGCAACTCATCTGTAACAATGAGTAATTGTGACTTCTGAATCTGCACAGGAGTCACTTGAGTAATATAAAGCCTAGGCTTTTAATTCAGGTTAGGGTTAGAGAGGGATTTGAAGAATACAACGGCAGGTATTTAGAAAATCTATTTTCAGGTCAGATCCTGATGAAGACTGTAATGAAATGGTTACTTGTTGGGGAGGTTGGTTTCACCATCATGTAAAGAAAGTGTTGAGCAAGAAATTCTATCCTTGTCAACACGCACAGCATTGCTGCGTAAAGAAACTACAACTTGAAGCAAATACTGAATAAAGGATGTAATATTTATGAATATTAGGAACAATTCCAAATGTAGATGCTCAAAAAGCTGCACATAACAGTAGGTCTCCAGCTTTTTTTTCATAACGGGGGGAAAATTGAGCAGGATGAAGGTAATCAGACTTGGTTAATGAGGTGATTGTCATCTACGGTTGGGGTAGCCTAATGTTTAAGGTATGTGGTTTCTCCCACTGGATCACTAGCTTTGAGTTATACCTTTGTGTACCTGGAGACTTTCATTTGGGAAATTATGTGAATATTTATTCAGTCTGAATATTTTTTCAATTTGTGTTTAAATTATTAATCTAATTCTTTGAATTATGCTATTTTTTTTCTGCAGCCCACAGTCACTGCTTGCTGGAATGAATAAATTCTTGTCTCAGCTGGAAATCACTTTCCGAAGAGACCCAAATAATTTCAGACCGAGGATCAATAAAATGAACTCTATCAAGGTAAGCAAGCACAAATTAGACTTGCAATTATCTGAGTTGTGCTGTGCACAAAAGCTATTACACGAATGACTGTCATACAGTAGTGTTCAGTCACATCCATGTTTCAGGTTTTAAAACTTTCCAGACATGGTGAATGGAAAAAAATCTATAACTTGAATGAATTACCATATATGTGCAGGGTAAGCGTAATATACACATCCATGGCATAACATTCTGAAACTAGAATTTTAGTATGAAGTTTATAGCAGAATGCCATAGTGTAATGATTCACTTAAGCCTTTAAATGTTTACCTCTTCAAGCCTTTCTAAATATATTTTCTGTTACATTGTTAATGTCACATTTAGTGAAATAACATTTACTATCTTTATTTTAAGAGGTATCCAAGTAAAGAGTCTTGTTATATCTAGGCATCTCATTTTGGTGCAGAAATACTCCTACAGTTCGTAGAGTTCAGATTGTTGCTGATTCATGGGGAGGAGGTTCATGTTTCTTATTCTTCTTGCTGAGTTATGACCTGGGCCAAACGAAGTGTGGAAATATTTGTCAAAAAATTGCAGGGTGTTTGACAAATTTTGCAGAGGAATGTGATGGGTTTTGTGGAACATTACGGAGGGTTGATTAGTGCTATTGAGAGATGCATTTTGTGAAGCAACCCCGATTAAAACTATAGGCATATATTTCCTGAACATGTATATATACTAAATGTAAATTTGAATAGTACAGCATTTAGCAAGAATTTGTTGCAGGAGCACAGTTTAGGCTGTGCATGCCAAGCCGATTTCCTGCTCGCGCGCTTCCTTGATAACCAACATTCCCCGACCATGTGCGACCCGAGCCGCTCAGCCCACAGTAGCAGCTTCGAGCAAGCAGCACGCAGGGGCCCGAGGTCAAGTACTCTGTGTGGATTTGTAGGGGATTCCACGGAAAAAACATGGCCGCACTTTTTTTATTGGCCCAGGTAATGAGATTAGTTTGCTGAAGTACACAGAGGAAGCTATGCCCTTCCTTCCCCTTTTCATGGTTTATTGTGCATGTGGAGGGATTAAAAATTGGGGTTGAGAATAAATGCAGCAAAAGTGATTTTTTTTTGTTTATATATAAAAAAAATCCCTGTAATTTGTGTGTTCTCTTTTCCGTAGGATGTGGAGCAAAAGAAGAGCGGAAACTACTTTTTCTTGGATGACTAAATTTGTTTTTGTGAATCCGGTTTGCCACATTTATAACGAGAAGCAATTACATTGAACACTGACAGGTTACATCTTGCTTTTTCTCTGTTATAATCAACATCTACAAAACAAATGCTTTCTGTTTAACTTCATGTCACTCTGAATTTTTGTAGCTAATTGGTATAAAATGGTGAAATTGTGGCTTGTCGCAATTACATTTATTTATTCATGGCAAAAATGTGACTGCGGGAGACAAGACGTAAGTGCTACAAATGGTCAACAATAACCATGTACTGAAAACTGACCAGAGGAATTGTGGAACACTTGGGAAGAAAAAAAACAAATTCTGCTTTTATTATGTTTGTTTCATTGACAATAATTGGATTTTTGATGAGTAAACTTATTTGCAAGCAAAGCATCCTGTTACCAATATTAAATCATAAAAACAAGGGTTGCAAGTTGTGTTTTCTCATTTTCAGACTGGAAAATTAATTGTAGCTATGTGGTTTCAATGTGTTGCAGAATGAAAATAATTGAGCAGGTTCTGTATAAGTTCCCAACCAGGCCACATTAAAGTTAGTGGTTGGGGAAAATGTTTAAAACAGCTGCATGTTGGTTATATGAAAGCCTGGGGAAGAATAATGGGGTCTGGTGGTATAAATAATACTCCATTACTAACTTGAAGAAAAATAGTGCTGAGATTCAATTAAATTGGCCATACTTTGCAGTAAATGTGCTTTCCTGTGTGATTGGACTTCATACCACACATATGCCAGGTGAATTATTATGCTAGAAATAGCTGCATGGTACTCTTAACTCTTCTGCAATAAATTCACTAAAGTAGCTGTAAATCATCGAAAAGGTTGAACTGCTGAATCATGGACAAAGTTCATGATCCCAGTGTTAATATTGTTTAGTCAGTGGAATAAAAGTACAATGAGAAGATACTATATAGTAGGGTAAAACAGTCAAGTCAATAGGTTAAAATAATCCTTGCATTTGATCCAGTGATTTATTTTGACATTCACAGAATTTTACTGTATTTTTGTAGGTGAACATGGCAGCCAACTTGTGCGCAGCCATAAAGTTAATGACCCATTATATCTGGGGGAAATGTTGGTCACAATCTTTTTATAGTACCTTTATTGTCTACCTGAACAAACAAGCATAATATGTTTCACATCTCAGCTCTAACAATCCAGCACCAGCCTAGATTGTGAGCTCAAAGTCCCAACATGGGGCTTAAATCAACAAGTTTTTGACCTGAGTGCTGTTGACTCTGCCAGGATGATCATTTCCATCTATTGGGAAGTTTGTGTTCAATTTACATGTTGAACAAATCAAACATTCTGTGCATGTTGTTTCACAAAATACTCTTTATATTGTTATAAGATCTTCAGTTAACCGGCTGAATGTGATTTAAGGGAACACTTTTAATTCCATTGGCTATTGAAATGTTTCAAATGGTTGTAATTAAATCACATTTGCAACAAGGTTTATACTTCTAGATGGGAGGGTACTTTTGAACCTAATCTGGCTGCTCTTTCCACTATAAATAGGCTAATTTCAATTACATGAAACAATATCTGGTCTCAAACCTGCAAACATCCCAGCCAATATGATTTTTGTAAAATTATTACCCAATTTGATCCTGCCATTTTTGAAGTCAAATTACACTTTACAACTTTTTCTTCAGAAAAATGGTGCACTATCCATTTGGCATCCAGAATACTGTCCTGTTCTGCAAATCCTGCAAGTTGTTACTTACTTTGCCCAAAAGGCTTGTGCCCTCACTGATTTGGGGAAGAGGTAATAAATAGGAGCCATTTTCAAAATTGTTCCTTTGCAGATTATGGTGCTGGTAGGTGGTTCGATATTACAGATTTCAGTGGTGACAGCTGCACATTTAATCTGTTCCAGTTAAGCAGATGGATCATGTCTTTCCAGTGAAGCTTGTGCCAATACAAGGATGAGATTAAATCAACAATGGATGGATGGCCAATTGATTGTCTCACCATCTGAAAATCATCAGTGAGGCAGATTGATGACTTCAATAAGATGCAGTGTCAATGAGCAAATTATTTTAAAGCAGATGCAGTTGAAGATCAAGACTGCTCATGGATTCCATTCAGCACCAAACTAAGGCCAGTGCCCCAAGATTCTCCATTTAGATGGACAGTTTGTAAATTAAAGATGTTTGATTCAATTATCAAAACAAATGCAGTACAAGTAAAAAGGCATAAACAACTTGTGTCCAGGTCAGCACTCTAAAAGACTTTAATATGAAAAAGCATTTTTTTTCTTTTATTCTGTTCACAAGAACATGAAGATAATAGTGAAAAGATTTCATACCATAACCAGTGATAGTGCACAACAAAAATAGAAAATATACAAAATACAGTTCAGTAAAGTTTTAAGTTACAAAAAATAAATTTGCAGTTCAGTGTTCTGCAGACAGCTAGCTCATACTGCATTAGTTTGCATATTATGAGATTGCATTTTACAATACCACATGTGCCAAATGGAAGTAGCTGTAATGCTATTAACACATTCTTAAACACTGAAGTAAACATTAAAAGTAAAAACTCAAGCAACCACTGCATTCTTTTAAATTTCATTGAATAATTCTAATAAGACCAAATTACACACACTTCTTACAAATACTCATTTAGATGAATAAGATGTAACTGGGACAGTAGTATCCTAACTGGGAGAAAAATAAACACCATTACTACCATTGTATATAATACTTAAATAGTTATTTTGTGAAAAAAATATTCCTGATGAATTATAAAATATCTACAATACACAATTCCTATAAAGGAGATTTTTTAAAACCAAATTACAATCTTCACAGGCAGCTTTTGATGAAAGCAACAACATTCTTTGTAAACTGCATCAACTATGATGCATAATATTTTTCTAAAAAGCTTAGAATTGGTATACATACACACACACTGAAGAAGCCAAATAACTAATTCACAAAAGATGCAATTTTCATCAATTTTAAACTAATGTTTAGAATGGGTCAGACCAAGGCACATACAATTCAGCTCAGGGCTGAAAAATACCAGAGAACCTAGCTTGGTAACCTGCATTATGGGTATAACTGGAAATCCATAGTACCCTACAATTGTGTGTGAGCAATTTTGGGCAGCAGTTTGAAATCAGTAAAGCTGCATGTACAGATGAAAAGAAACAGGGAGACCTGATACCAGGAAAAGAGCTGTGAAGAGTTAAAAGTTTCATACACACCAAATAAAGTACCCTAAGTAGGCCACAGTCACGCAGGGTAAGAACTAACACAAAAACAAGATATTTAAAAAGTCGCTAGAAACAAATACACAACGGTTTTAAATATCCAGTCGGGAATTGCCAACAAAATCACAGACAAAAACCTTTTAAGAGGAAAGGTAATTTCAGCAGCCTCCTGCAGCAGTAGGTGGAAACTATTAATATTATAATTCAATTTCCAAAAAACTAACACAGGCACGATGGGCAAAATGGCCTTCCCCTGCGCTGTAATATTCTATAAGGGCAGTCAATAGACTTCTGGAATCCTGTAACTCAGTGGTTAGAGCACTCGTCTTGCAAACGAGAGACCTGCATTCAATTCCCAGCAGGGCAAAACTTTGGGCAAGTCTCCTTACTCCACAAGCCTGAAAATAATCCCTCAAAATATAAACAATAATAAATTGGTCACTTCAATCTATGACTGTTTGTGGGACACTGCTGTGTGCAATCAGCTGCCGCATTTTGCCCACAAATATACAGTCAATTCACTTTACAGTATATTCTGTGAATTGCTTTGAGACGCCTAGAAGACGTGAAAAAAGCGCTATATCAAATGCAAGGATTATTATTATATCTTCTGTATTTTGCCCTCATTACTGAGTGTAGGATTTTCGTCGCCTATTTCAAGTAGAAAGAAACATTGTGAAAAAGTGACCTGAATAGCGATTTGCTGAGAAGCCCACAAGATGCGGGTCAATTATGTTGCATACACATCTGCAGAGTTTTTTTGTGCTTCGTGCTGCAGTCTGGCACACCTGGATAAGCATTAATTGCTGAATCCTGAGGCAATCTGCACATTTTCTTTTTAAAAAAATCAGTGGAAGGAAGTAGCATCTGAGAACCACAGCTTTGCTTTATTGTAGATCAGATTAAAACCTGTTCCATGTCAAAATACCCCTGAAAGAGAGGCCTCATAACTTCAAAATCATGTGATCTCAAAGCACAGCAAGAGGTATGTAGAGTATCAGCCACTGAGAAGAATCTAAGACATCCCCCCCCCCCACCTCCGCCAAATAAAACCCAAAAACAGTGATTAACTGGAGGCCAAGGTTGAACCAACCAGTCAAACCAACTGAGGTAGATCTCAGTAAGCTAATACCAAAGAAAATGACACCAACTACAGTGAAACCTCCGATATTTCCCGAAGTCACAAGCTTTTTAAAGACTACTCATAGAGCGGCTGACAACAAACCACAATGATTTACAATGAAGAGAAGACGCACTGAAACCAAAGCTTTTTCTTGGGTGTGTGTTGACAAGAGATGGGACTGAAAAAGAAAACCAATCCCGTGCAGCAGAATTTTGCATACAACAGTGGTGATCACCCGGCCTAAAGAGGCAGTGCAATAGTACAAATTTCTCAAAGGGAAGATTGTCAAAAAGTGATTTTTTTTCTCACCTATGACAGAAAAGACATTATGAACATTTCTATTTTTTGTGAAGGTTGAACAAATGAGGAAGTTGGCCCATTATAACTGTCTAACTACTGAGCCCAAGGTGAACAAAGTTTGTATCAAGTGCATAAGTGTTTTGTCAAGACAAATGCAGATGTGTCCAAAACTCCTCGTTCTACTGACAAAAATGCACATCAATCCAGTTTAACCGACTAATAGTCATTTCAACCCAAAGCTAAAACCCATAATAAACACACATCTACAACAAGAACAACTTGCATTTGTATAGCGTCCTTTGAGCACTTATCCAGTATTGGCTAGTTATTTTAATTACAGTAATTTTAATTGTATTCCAATAGGTTACTATAAAAGCACTATCCTCAGCCCTGAGTATGGTTCTTAGGATAAAATAAACCGCAAAAAGCCTATATTCTTTTAATAACAATCTGTAACAGTTACAATCAATTTGAAATAGTATTTTCTATGATTTTTCCTTCTATTATGCATTTAAATCCTAGTCTCCCTATTTATTAAAACTTTTGTTCACATCTCACCTGAAGTATTTCAATTCCATCGCAAAAGTTTTGGTTCTCACTTGTCATTGTACTGTACATTTCAGACATGCAAGTGTGAAAAGGGACAAAATATTATACCAAGAATTTAGTGCAAAGTTCCTAAAGAATATACATTCTAAACAATGAGATACCTCAATGAAATATCTAGTTTTGAAAAATATGTTTTAACAAGCAGACTCTGATTTTCTTCTAAGGCACCTTTCTGGCAAGATGGTACTCAAGTCTACCTTCTATATTCAGTATTGAAGCTAATTTATTCCAGAGGCATCTCAAAATCACAATTTCTATATTAGTATTTTTATGTGATTACTGCTGTAACGGGAGCTGGAGACAAACCTCGCGTTTCTTCTATGAAAGGAACAAAACAAATTTAAATTCAGGTTTCATTCTCAAATTTCCAGGAATTCAAATTAATTTCTTAGCTCTGCTTTGTTTGGGAGTGAAGGGGAAAGAAAAGGAATAGAAGCGCCATTCTCTTGTCAGCATCATACATTATCTGATGCAACCACCACCGATTGCTACATTCATTGGAAACTGGTGGAAGTATATTTATTAGGATGCATCTAAATTTGTAATGTTAAATTTAGTCCACCATCCCACTCCTCACCTGGATACCTCCAAACACGAGACCACATTTGTTTCATGTAGGTGGACTGGATTTTTTTTTCCCCTAAAGCAATTATTTTGTAATTTCTCTCAAATAGACTTTGCTTTTGTTTCCTTCTCTTCCCCCTCCTCCCTTAATGTATTCAATTTAGTTTCCACTTCTTGCAATTGTTTTCGACATTTTAAAGTCTCTGCACAGACTTGGAAAAAAAATCAAAATCCTGCTGGGAACCAAATAACATAGGTCATAAAATCCACTAATTTTTTTTAAGCAGTCCAGTCCAGATTATGGTCACGTTAAATATTTGTCAAATCTGCTGTTTTTAGATTTGACTATTTCCTGCCCTATTTTAGACACCCTCTTACAGTTTTTTTTAAGTATTTCTAATGCACATTAACAAATGCTATTTGAAAGACTAATTATTACATTGATTATTTAGCAGAATGCTACTGAAATCCTGTGTTGCCAAAGCTATTATTCAGAGAACAATGAAAGAAATAGTTCTATTTCAATTAAAATTAACATTTCAATTAACATTGGGGAGGAAATTACACAAATGGATTTAGATCTTGCAGGATAACTTAAAGCAAACTGTTTAACTACAGCTCTAAACTGCAGCCCTATCAACTTCAGTTTCTCACAATTTGCCCAGTCATTGTTTTCTTATGCTAGGATTAGGTTTCCTGCTCTCTCTATACCCTTGCTTTCTAAAACCATTGTGTTTTCCGCTCTCATTTTCTACAGCTGCCTCATTCTCAAATTGTTGCACATCATTATCTTGCTCGTTCCCCAGGCCACGCTTGACATCAAATCTATTGGGACCCATATGGTGCCTTTGGATTTGTAATCTCCCCTGTACATTTTCGTGTTTGCTTTCATCTCCATCAGCACTGGCTCCACGGGGCAGCCCTGACCTCTTTGTACCTCTCTGTGTGCCCCAAGTGTTCCTGTCTTTAGTATACAACTTGCTGTCTTGCCTCTTTGGGTCAGCTGTTCGATCCCTCCCGTTAGCATAGCTATTGTACGAGGAATAGGGTTTTCTCTGCCACTTTGCCCTATCAGATACATCCCTCTGCTTAGGAACATAGGTCATTTGATGATGCAATGGCCTCTTAGGTGGGCAACCTTGTTTTGAGTCATCCCTATTTTCTCCCCACCCCTGATTATAAAAATAAATAGGTCTACCACCAGGTGCTGTGGTGGACATCTCATTATGAACCTCAGAACGTCCACTCATCGAGGTCACTGCTGTAGTACATGGTACAGACTTGACCTTAGCTCCATCAGTGGTTTGAAAAGTCTGAGCACTTTGGGATTCTGACTCATCGAGTGGGGCACCAGCGATTCCTGAATTTTCTCTGCAAGTGCCAGTTATTTTGGGGGACTCAACGTTCTCCCCGACTATATCAGATCCTGGGAGACTTGCGTCAGGGACAAGGTTTTGCTCCTCCGACTGTAGCTGCTGAACACAAGGGTCCGATGAGCAGAATGTCGGGTCATTTTGATAAGCCAGGTGTTCAGGGGAAACCTGGCATGGTAACCCACTACCCAATGCAGCCACGTACATGGGATGAATACTGAAAGGATGCACGTATGGGCTCCGGCCAAACAATGCCTGCGGTAGAGGTGTCCTCCAACCCACTGGTGGCTGATTACCATCTGAGCCCATGTGAGAAGGAAGGTGAGAGGGAAATGAAAGATGGAAGTTTTGATGCAAAGCCTCTAGGTTCAGAGCAGATTCATTTTTCTGAGCTAAATGTGACATCATTGGCTGTGCTGGTGACAAATGGTCTCTATTGATACTCTCTTCCAATTGAACAGACTGACTGGGATTGTGGGTCTCAGGAGGACTAGGGATCAGTGGTGGGGTTGCAGTATTAGCACTCTGGATGTAATCAACTGTTGCCTGGAGCCAAGGATTAATCGGAAGAACTGGCGCAGGACCTCTTGGGTACATCGCACAGGTTTTTGTGTAAGCCTGGTTCAGTGCGTACAGATAGGAATACGGCGTCCACAAAGGGAAACTAAAAGCCTGGGAATAAAAACAAATATACATTAAAATATGAAATTATGAATGTTTGAAAACACCATTACAGTTATTTGCTATTAGTACAAGTGGAACCAAAACAAACCTCTACAGGACACAATAATATGTGCAGAGAACAATATTACGTCAGATCGTGTTCCTGTTCATGACCCAATATTGTTGAAAAAAAAACCTCAACTTTATAAACACCTTCATGATGGGTTTTTCATCAAAACAACAGAGGAAGATCAGGAAACTGATTAACAGTGGGCATCTCCAATGGAGAAACTAGAATTGAAGGCTAAACGCTCTTTCTCTGCTGTAATTTTTACGATTCATAGGTTTCACTCAGGGCCTCACAAATCTTTAAAGTAGCTCGCTCCAGGTCGAGATGTAATCAAGTTAATGAGCCAACCCATTGAGTCACTCGGTGTAACTGACCCGAGAGACAGAGTTTGCTGACAGTGAGAAATATTGATATTGGTTCAATATCAAATTTTCCTTTTTTTTAAAAAAAAAGAAAATCCACCTCCGAAGGAGTATATAAATCACTTCTCGGCCTTTTAGCTAAAATCAAGAGGAGTTTCAACCGCGTTTGTTACAGATGTTGATTTATATTGAGATAGTCATAGGCTATGATTTATGACCTGCACTGCCCTTTGGTGAGTTGAGCTGCTGTATTTTGTGATAATGTATCTTTCAGGGGTTTTTGGATTCAGTTTGCGAAGCTGGGTTAAGACACTGTTCATTTTTCAAATATAAAGGTGTTCTAGGTATGTGCAAAAAATGTAAAGTCAATTTGTTTCAAAATGGGTAAATGTATTATCTAGTATTGTAATGAATCACAGATCAGGATTCAATTTCAGATGTAATCCATGGTGTATGCCGAATCGTCTGGGAGTACTACTGTTGGGGCTACAATGAGCCTCAGTGTCCCAGGCTAAGAGAGGGGGACAGAAAGGGTTTCAAAAAGAAGTCAGGATTCTCCCTTTTGATAAATGCAATAGGCGAGGATAAAATGGGTCCAATTGTTCATTAATCATCTTATTGTTCAGGGCTCAAAGATAATGGACACAGGCCTCAATCAATACCTGGGGACCTGTATTGTTAGCACAAGTGACTTGAAAGCAAGCTTCAGGATGGGGGGTTGGTGGAGAGATAAACGATGAGAGAGATGAGGAGCAAACAAAAATGAAATAAACATTTGTCCAGTTGTAGGAGTCACGGAAAGAGCAACAATGCAGTTGTTCAAAGATAAACATAAAAACAGTAGTTGGAAGTAAAGGTCCTGTCTGGTCACAAAATAATAACTATATTTCTAATCGTTCTATTTGATAGAACACCTCATCACCTTGTTGAAATGACTCAAAGCACTTCACAGGATTTTACTATAAAGTGTAGTGACTGTGTATTTAAAACTGCTAAGTGAACAAAAATAACTTTAAAAAATAAATCTGAACATTGAGGATTATATATGAATCTTTGTCTGCAGTAAAGCAGGAAAACAAATACGTTTCCTGGTGGTAATGAACTTATAATATTTTGATTGAAAAAATTTGACAAGACAAACTGACCTACCTTTACACCAAGGTTGTAGAAAAAGCGAAGGATGCTTTTATCTGTTTGAGGAAATAAGAGAGGGTTAGAAGATATGATTTCCTCTAAAGCCTTAAGAACACATCAAATTTTATTGCATCATGGCAATTCTCAGTACAATTTACACAGCCCTTAAAGCACAGATATGGTTCATCATGCTTCGGAATAACGTTTGCCTATAAAATACACAGTAAATCAGGGTTTCTGTTAACCCTGTGAAGTGCTTTGAGACTTCCTCCTGACGTGAAAGGCGCTATTCAATTTAAGTGTTATTATTATCTAAATCATATTTCAAACAGAAGCACATGTTCCTCCCCCTAGGTCCTGGCACCTCTCACCACAAATGGCCTAAAAATTTATCAAAAAATGAGTTCTTACCTTCTGGAAGATCTCGCCCACTTTTGTCATATGAATAAGCTGGGGATGTGTTGAGATATTCTCCCTTTTCATTCACAGGGAACCCAGGATACAAGAGATCCTGGTAAGGGTTTGGAATCTGAGGAACGTGCACAGCCGGAAGATTGCCAGGGGGCAAAGGAACACAAAGTGGGGTGACCGCAGGTGACATGACCTGAGCAGTGTGTGACGCAGGCGGGCTGCAGGTCACAGGTGATGGAGTTTCAGGTGGAATAGCCATCTCTGGTGGAGTACCTGTCGATCAAAGAGAGACAATAGTTTGCAGATTTCCCCAGTGAAAACATCAAATGACCCCTGTAGACAACGAGGGTCAAATATGCAGTCTGAATGAAGAGATTCCTTAATAACCAATCTGAATTACCCTGATGCAATGGGGATAAACCGCACTCTCCCTCAACCAATATCCTCAGACACCATTCTCAATCCCTACATCCTGAAGCCACATCGTCCATTTGACACTTATAAATCGTTAATCTTTTTTTGAAAGCTCAGTCCACACCCCAGTCAATGAATTCCTCTCAGGTTACTGGAATTTGGTATATGATAAGACCTGCAGTAAAGAGTTTGCTTTGCTACAATTAAGGAATCAGGAAAACAATTTGGACAGATGTACACGTTATCACACCGTTTGCAGAGATAACATACAAAAAAAACACAAAGGTTTGCAAATGTAAAAGAGCAGCTGCATTACAGAGCAAAAATAAATGTCAGAGCCTCTCATGTTTTGTCGCTCTCTTTCCGAGATGCAAAAGCAGTATAATAGGCCTTTAAAACTTTTAACACTCGTGCTTTACTGAGGTGAAACATGATCTGATCTCTCCTGCCACCACAAATAAGGTTACAACTTTGCAGCTCACTCCTGGGTATCCTTTATTTGAATATATAAACTGTAGAAGTGTGAATAATTATCAAGGCAATTAGTCCAAGTCAGATTTGATTACATTACCTGCTGGTTGGCAAGCGATCGACCCGGATGGTAATGGGGCACAGCAGCGGGTATAGAAGGCACTGATGGAGTCACTGGGGCTGCTGTATGACAAGGCTGTGGCTCTCTCGGGTATGATGGTGGGATAAGCTCTGTGCCTGAGGTCACAGGGGTCGGGGGCACCTCTGACGCATTCTTGAAGGGTTTTGCAAGTTCTTTATGAACCTGGTACAACAGCATATAATGAATTATATTTCTCAAGTCAAAATCCCGCTGCAAGAATTGTACCGGGCCAATATCTCTCCGAACAACTTAACCTCGCTGGAACATTTATAGCTTTGTCACACCAAGGTATCATTCTAATACGCATCCAATCCCATTTCCAATGTTGTATCGTGATGCAAAAAAGATGCATTGTAAGGTTTAATAATATGCACTAAAATAATGGCTTCAAATAGTTGAGAAAAACTATCTATTGCATTGTGACTGTTAATAGTAAGAGCAAAGATTTATAAAGAATGAACAGCATGGAAACAGGCCACTCAGCCTAACCAGTCAGTGATCATATTTACACTTCCCACGAGTGTTCACCCATTTCTTACTCTATCCCACACCCTTCTATTCCCCTTTTCCTCATGTGAAGGTCCCGCTTCCACTTGAATGCATCCAGATTATCTGAATTACCACTTCAGGCAGCGAGTTTCCCAAGCTCATTACACTCTACTTGAAGTAGTTCCTCCTAAATTCTCTTTTACAGTATATCCTGTGAAGCGCTTTGAGACATCTCAACAACATGCTATATCAAATGCAAGGATTATTATTATTTTAGATTCCCTATTCTCTATCTTATACTGATGTCCCCTGGTTATGGACTATCCAAAACAAGTGAAAACAAGTTTATTTATGTCAATCTTATCAATCCCTTTTATAATTTTAAAAACCTCTATTAGGTTCCCCCTTAAACGTCTCTAACAAAAAAAATCTAACCTCTCCAGTCTCTCCTGATAGCAGTAACCTGCCATCCCTGGGATCATCTTCGTAGGCCTACACTAAATTTTTTCCATCAATGCTGTATCCTCACCCCAATGTAAACCACTCGGGTCTCGGTCCTTCAACACCCAGCGGGACACTGTGCCAGTCCCTCCTGCCAGCCATTCCATCCATCCTTCGGATGAGACATTAAACCATGGCATCCTATAGCTCAGTGGTTAGCGCACTCGACTCACAAGCGAGAGGACCTGGGTTAGATTCCCAGGCAGGGCGAAACGTTGGGTAAGTTTCCTTACTCCACACACATCTGTTTACCAAGCAGTAAGTAGGAACCCAGTTGTTAGTCGATTGGTAGATCACTTTTTCGGGGGTAATAATCCCTTCAAAATAAATGATTAAAATATAATAATAATTTGGTAACTAAATCCACGACTGTTGGTGGGACACTGCTGTTAGCAACTGGCTGCCGCATTTCACCCACAAAACAGTCACCCACGTTACAGTATATGTTGTGAAGCACATTAAGACATCTCGAAGATGTGATAACGCGCTGTATATCAAATGTAAGCATTATTATCCTTCTTATAGTGTGGAAACCCAAATTGGTCACAATACTCCAAACGTGGTCTAACCAAGGTTTGGTATAAATTCATCATTACTTCCTCACTTTTAAATTCTATCCCTCGCATTTAAAGCTCAAGACCCCATTGGCCTTTTTTTCTCTTTTTTTAAAAACACTTTTCTCAAATTCACATAATAAACTCCTGTGTATTTTTCCGATACAATCGTAGTCTATGCCCAAGGTTCCCTCCAAGGACGTCACATGGGGGAGGAATGTCCACCCAACCCAGCCTGCTCTGCACAGACATTACTATCTACATTTTATCTATCGCCAACCTTGAAAAAAATTTACCACTGGCATATTTTCCTAGCTTCTCTCCAGGAAATAATAGTCGTTAAAAAAACAACTATAGTTTCTGTACCAATGGATCCCAGAAACCCATCTTACCACATTTGAGAAAGCTTCAGAGTTCAGCTCTTGTCCAAGGGGCTGTGTAACTGATTCTGCGGAAAAAAATTACACGGTTGATATAGAAACAATATGCATTGTCTGCGATTAGGAATAATTTCTCGGGAGTGCCACACAATAGGGTTAGACACCGAGAGAGGGAGGGGGGAAGTGACAATAGACACAGTCAAAGAGGTAAGTCTTTAAGGATTTTAAGTGAAATGCCACATTATGTAAAGTAAGAAAAATGCACAGCACAATTTCACAGACATAAACATTGGAGACCAGGGTCAGGTGAATCTGCCTGCGACACATCCAGGAAACATTCAGCACGTTACAAATTTATAACTTTTAACTGGACAGTAGAGCCCTGTGTCAGATTCTCTCCACTTTCACTGATGGTAACTTGACTAAGGGTCACCTTTCAGCTCTAAAGTATGCTAATTAACCAGAGGTAAAATCGTGACTTTTCAAAATAGGATGCAAACTTGAAATGTTTCAGTTATAATTCATTCACCTCAAGCCTAGACTTCAAAGGTTAACGTGAAACATTCCACTGACAAAATCAGACTAACCAGAATTCTTCTGTGCTTTTGTTTCTGCCTGATTCTCTCCCGGTCTCACTTTGGCCTGGATATTTGCTTTTTTGCCGCTATTCGTGCTGGCACGGGTCTGAAAACTCCAATGGCTCTAGAAGAGATAAAGGGGAGCCGAGGTCTGAGCAAGTATATTTTGTTCAAAGTATTCCAATCGGAGAGAGACAAAACCCAAACACTGCTGTAACAGAATATTTCTGCTGAACTGCAGAAGCTTCTTGTTAACACAGCACCTGGGACCTGGTTTTCATTGCACCAGGCTGACCAGATACTACACACACACACACACAGATACTGAACCTGTTCAAGGTCAACAGCAGTCCATTAACTCCCAGGTTGGTCTAAAGCTTCACCCTGGTTAAACATCGCACACCAGGCTTCCGTAGCTCCTACCCATAACATAGGTCACCAGAGCAGCCGAGTGCAGAAGGAGGTGTGTCTCAGGATTGTGCTTTAATGGTGTTATTTCAACGTACGAGGAGATGTTTCAAAACTAAGATCACTGGAAAATCTCCATTTCTAGTGGGAATAAAAAAGCACGCCCTCTGCAATTCACCTCTAACATTTCATTGAATCCTGTCAGTGGATTGTTTAATTTGCAGTAGATGAACAGAATAATACACCTGTTTTAAGCAAAGGAAAGGCAATGCAACACACCACCACCATAATGAACTCCTCATCTACGATTCCTTTAATATGTATTACAACAGACAACAGTCCAGCTCTTTTGAAACCCTGATACTGCAGGAAGATAGTAAAAGATTCATATTGTTTTACAATTAATGATAATTATAATTTATGATTCACTTTTTTTGGGGGGGGAAGGAGGCAGAGATAAGTCATCAGAAAGCAAATCAGATTTGCTGCCAAAATAAGATGATTTGCAACAATCACAAAAGTGAGCTGAAGTTCACAATGAAATTCAAACTCTTCACCCGTCCAGGCATGACCAGACTGCAGAGGATTCTTATTGATGTGCAAACCCACAACCTGTACCTTTCATTCAGCCACACATTTGTTTGGGAGGCGAGCAGCTCATACAGGTACTAATGGCCTAGGTATATTAGGATCACCGACCCAGTTAAAGGCACTATCCTGAAGTAGGAACACGAGCCAGAAAACTGGGTTACACCGTTAAGAGTGATATGGTAAGGAAACCAGCCATTCAGCCCAACAAGATGAGTCTGTGTTTATATTCACATGAGCCTCTATTCCTCCAATTCACCTCTCCTACACCCCTCTATTCCCTTCTCTCTCGTACAAGCATCATGTTTTTTCTTATATTCAATTATGTTGTATATAAGATATATGTATATAAATTTGACCGAACCTTCGGCCACCCTCCTAGCCTCCCTGCCCTCCACCCTCCCTGATCCCAAACCCCAGTTCGGGTACAAATCCAACTGTCCAGCGCCTTGGGACGACCTCCCAACATGAAAGGCGCTACTACGCAAATTTAATTTTGTATATTAATTGCTTCAACCATAGTTTCGAGCTGTGAGTTCCACGTTCTCACCACCCTCTGCGTGAAGAAGTTTCTCCTGAACTCCCTGTTAGATAATAATAATCCTTGCATTTCGAATAGCGCCTTATGTCTTTGAGACATCTAAGCCCTTCACAGAATATACTGCAAAATGAATTGACTGCACATTTTGTGGGCGAAAAGATCCACTACTAGCTGTTATATATTGACACCCTGGGGCCTGGTCAGGATTCGAGTGCAATATGGAGTTCTGCGCACTCACATCTACACAAATGCATGGAGTTCAACCAAACAAATCCAACCAGAAGCCCAAAATACCTCACGATTTCAGCCTCAAGATCAATGTCTTCAAATGTAATATCAGGTGGCTATTCTGGATCATTCTTAAATTCAATCTTAATTTGAAAGCCGGTTTTCCAGTTATTAAAAAGAGAAACTCATTCAATTTCTTTTTTGAAGCAGACAACAGTTCAAAGCATTTCAAAGCAGCCCAGTTTGTGGTAGAGGATTTGTTTTTGTGACTGAAGTTCAAAAACAGCTCATAAAGGGATTATTTCACAGGGTGTCTTTTTTATACTTGCAATTGTGCAAAATATACAAGGTGAACAAAACCCAGTGTCCTACTCACAGGGAGCGCAGGGAAGGACTGCTCATCTTTCAGCTGAATCACAAAGGGGGCCTGAGCCTCATCAGCCTCTGAAGGATCAAATCTTCTCGGGTCTTTGTTGGAGCCGTCTCCTTCCTGGCCTCGATCGCATTTTCTGCAAGATAAAGAACTCTCTTCAAATGACGTACAGAAGAAATGGATTTCGAAACATTTTTTTTCACATTTTATCTTGAAAGAAAAAGGAAAGGAACGCATTTGGAAAACAAAGCAATTGTGACCTGGATGCTTCCTTCCAGTGATTCCATTAAGACGAAACATGTGTGTTGGAAGGACCAGAAAAGAGCACGAACAATATTACCTGTATTAAAACGGTCAAAGCCAATAATACAGTAAAACGCACACAAGTCTTACTGGAGACCCTGAATCGCGGAAAATTAAGTTCTTACTCGTTACCAGCCGGCTGCATTCAATCGGAGGAATCAAAGTCTTCATCCATCAAGGCACACGCAGAAGAACTTCATTTCCTTCAATTCAATGCAATTCAACATTTGACAGTAAGTGTGCTTGTGGTGACGAGTTAAGACACATTAAATCGCAGGAAATGTCTTAGCCCGTCACTGCATGTGCACTTACCGGCTGCAATGACGAATTACACCATGTGCACTCGCTGGCTACATTGAATTACGCACGTGCAGTCTAGAATTTTGATTAAATCAGATTTTCTACGACTTCTACAGTAAGACTGCAACTCGGACTTCGCAAGTCACATTAAATGTTATGGTTCCAACTGATACTTTTGTGAGTTTCACTGTATTTGCTGAAGCGCACAATTAAGGGTAGGAGAACACTACATTCCATCCTCAACTCCTAAACATTGGCAAGTGGCACAGTTTCTTTGCACAAGTTCCTCGGTTACTCACTTTGAGACCTGCGTGAATTCTTTGCCTCGCCCCTCGTGCTCAGCGGGTAGCTGTTTGGGTTGCACAGCTGCGACCTGCTGTGGGGGATTCTGCTGTCTGCCTCCAGTCGTTTGCTGGAGACGTGGAGGTAGTGTTGTCTGCGCTCGGTTTGGTTTATTGGTAAAATTGCTAGAATTCTTCGGGCCTCTGAATTCACCCTCTGTCAATAAGATTGTACATTTTCTTCACTTTTTTTTACAATAGAACAGTGAAGCATCAATCAATTCTCAGTCCACTAAGTTTAGGAAGGGATTCCGGGATGGAATTCCAGAGGGAGAAAAGACAGCAAGATTCAGCCCCAAATGGTTAATTGGTTAATCTATACTGTCTGTTTGTGCAACTCCATCCCCACCCCACCCTGACTGTGCTGGAGAAGGGGTGAGGGGAAAAAGGAATGAAAACATCAGAACAACAATAATAACAAGAAATTGCGTTTATGTAGAGCCTTTCATGTCGGGAGGATATTCTAAGGCTCTGGACTGTCAAGGTGCACTATGCCATCCTTTAAATGAGAAAATAAACCAAGGTCCCATCTGCTGGCTCAGGTCAACTTTAAAAATCCCATGGTACTATTCCTCCTGATAAAACTGGTCATTCTCTTCATAGCTGTTGGTGGGCATTGCTGGGCACAAATTGGTTGCCAGGTTTACCTACAAAATATACAGTCACTGCGTTTTACAGTATATCCTGTGAAGCACTTTGAGATGTCCTCCTGATGTGAAAATACCAAATGTAAGGAGTTTTATTATTATAAATCTGCTTCCAAATTAAGATTAAATTTAAGAATTTCCTACAATTCTGCACAATCTCAAGATGGTAAAACAAGATGGTTTTAGAAGCTTATATGGGTGGAATTTCGATCCCTACAACAACTTGCATTTATATTGCACCCCTCATGCAGGGCTAAACTGGCTTCCCCTTCCCAGCACTCGGAGGGTTGCACAATAGGATAGTTTAAGCAATGAACCATTTGGCACTGAATCTTGCTCTCTCCTCCCTTTCAAATTTAAAATTAAATTGAAAGGCTCCCAGTCAGCTTTGGGAAGCACTTTCAGATATCCTTGTCCTTTCACCTTGCTCTGATGGCCAAACAGCCCTCATAAAAATACACAGTCAATCCACTTTACAGAATATCCTGCGATACGTCTCAACAACGTGATAAGGCGCTATATCAAATGGAAGTATTATTATCTGTGGGTAAATTTCTATGATACGTCCGATGTGAAAGATGCTATATAAAGATAAATAGTTGTTCCTTCATTCCTGTCCCTCTGCTGAAAGGTGTTCCCAGAGACAAGCTCAACCCACCATGACCCAACAGATCATAACTTTCTTAAGATTCACAGTTCTCCTCTTCCCATCACTACCAAAATAACTGAAAGAAAAATCCCTTACCAGTATTGCTATTCGCTGACCAAGGCTTCCTCGCTCTTTTCCCCTGAACTCTGTTCCAACCTCCCGCAGAAGACACCTGAGTAAGTGGCCGAAGGTTCCTCAAAGGGGCACTGTGTCTGAGAAAACAATAGTTATTTAAAACCACGTAATAAATGTAAAAGCAAATTCAAATTTGTGGAGTTCTGTAGCTCAGTGGTTAGAGCACTCGCTTTGCAAGCGAGAGACCTGAGTTCAATTCCAGGCAGGTCAGGGCGAAACCTTGGGCAAGTTTCCTTACTCCACACAGAGCCCAATAATAATCCCTCCAAAACCAAAAACAATAATAAATTGGTCACTTTCAATCTACGACTGTTTGTGGGACATTGCTGTGCGCAATTGGCTGCCGCGTTCGCCCACAAATATACAGTCAATTCACTTTACAGTGTGTTCTGTGAAGCGCTTTGGGACGTGCTCCAGACGTGAAAAGCGCTATATCAAATGCAAGGATTATTATTATTATTATAAATAAAACATACTTTGTGCACTGCTTGTTTTAGTTTGTACAAAGCTCACTTTACTGTTCCGTACGTAACATTTGTCAAGTTAAAAACAGAAAATTCATCACTACAGGTGGTTGGCTGATGTTTTTGTTGCTTTAACAGGTACGGACCTCACTCAAAAACACAAGAGAGTCAAGCTGGATACAACGCTGGATTTTGTGTTAAAAATCCCAGTCACATTTATGACATTCTCTATTTTGAACACATGAGCAAAGCCTGCACAGTTTTCCTGATCATCCCATTTTAACCATTCCAGAAACAAAAAACCTGCTGCCATTGGCCATGGAGAACTCTTTTTGCACTTCAGGTCTATTGATGATGGTGCAAGTGGCAGCACCAAATAATAATAAAAATCCTTGCATTTGATATAGCGCCTTCACAGAATACGTCTTCGAGACGTCTCAAAGCGCTTCACAAAATACAACAACAGCTTGCATTTATATATCGCCCTTCACATGGGTTAGCGTCCTGGATACACTATAAGGTGAATTGACCTTATATTTTGTGGGCAAAACACGGCAGGTAAATGTACACAGCAGTGTCCCACACACAATCGTGGATTTAGTGACATAGGAACATAGGAACAGGAGGAGGCCATTCAGCCCTTTGAGCCTGTTCCACCATTTAATTGGATCATGGCTGATCTATACCTCAACTAATCCTTTCATAAAAGACAAAAGATAAAGCATCCTGGAAGCAGTACGTTGAGGGCAACCGATTTCACATTCACTAGCTGTAATGAATGGATTTCAGCACAGCCACCTCCCCAGGTGAGTCTCTAAAACTTGTGTCTACGTTAAATTTCACAGGGGGAGGATGCTATTTAGTTGATAATGCAAATAAGCTGAGAGCCTATGCACGTAGACTACTGCGTTAAATGAAGCGTCATTGAAGGAACAAACACAGGATATATTAAGTTTTGAACTATTCTCACCCTCCCACAGATGGGTATAATTTTTCTGTCACCCAAATAAGTGTGGCTCTTTGGATGGTAAAGCCCAGCTTTTCTTAGGTCTCATTTGATGGATGTTCATAGACAGTGTATATTTGCCAGTAAAAATCATCCTTTAGTCACTTGATGAGTTGCTGACATCTGGAATTTATGCAATTTGGATCATTGCGTCCAAAATATAACATTTTAAGGATAATGGTCTTAAATTTTAAGGTGGTGCACAATTTGGGGGACTTTTATTCGGAAACTAGTGCTTCTATTTCTCCCGGTATCCTGACCATCAATCAATCCCCCAAATAAAATTGCTCATTCACTTCATGGCTGTTTGTAGGACATCGTCTGGGCCAATAAAAACTTGTGGAAATATTTGCCCCAAATTGCGGGGAGATTTGCCAATTCTGCGGAAAATTGCGCAGGTCCTACTGAGGTACATTTTACTGCCAACCTACATTTTTTCACTTCATTGATGAAAACTAAAGATAAGGAAATGACACATATTAGACCCACCCACCCACCCACACTCACAAACACAGAGAGAAAGAGACTCGCAAACACACACAAACACAGAAAGTCACAACAGTGGGGCCTTCGAGTGAAGCCATTTGCCGCTTGCGCCGCACTGAGCATGCGTATCCGGAGTCGCTACACCCACAGTGACATCTTGTAACCAGCGAGCAGCCCACGGGCAAGAAACTACGTTTACAGCGGGTTTGCGGCCGACGCCGTTTATAGCAGATTCTGCAGAAAAAGTGTGACCGCACTTTTCAATTGGCCCAGGACATTGTAATGCACTACGTTACTGCCACTACATTACATGGTATACATCTGTTAAACGCTTTGAGATGTCCTCCTGAAGCAAAGCACGCTACACCAAATTCAAGGATTACTTATTATTTAAAATATCCTACAGAAAATTGACTTCAAAGACTGAAATTACTTACTTTTCTCCAAGCTCTTCCACAAAAAGCACAACCGGTCCATTGTCAGGGCTGACCTCCTGAATATGTGCATTATAGCACTTACCATTATCCAGCCGCACCTAGGGGAAGGATGGAAAAACGTTTTAAAGCTTTTAAAATGTTTTTAATATGTTTACATGTGATTTGCATTGTTAATCTATAATATGCATGTACCCAAATTAGTCTTTCACAAGACAGAGGGAATTGCATTAAATCAAACCACCAGCACCTATCAAAACCCAAATAATTTGAACCCAAGTTATTCTGTTTACAGCTGGCATCTAGTTTTTTAGTATTCAGCAATATTATTTTATGAATTTCAAGGATGCGTAATAAATACCTTACATCTTATAGTAAAATAACTATTGTATTTGGTTTGTCCACTAATAAGATGTGGATCATTTAAAATAAAGGGAAATTGGATCAACTTGATTCAATAAATCCAAATCTCACCCTGAACTAATGATTCAGTACCAATAAAAGTTTTGTTTAAGACAAAGTAAATAAATCACTCAGGTGGCAGCCTGGCTCAGTTCCTAACTCACTCACTGGAGTTGCTCCAAGTCAACGACATATTTAGAAGAAAAATAACAGCATTATTTTTGAAGGCGCTGCTTACCTTACATCTATCTCCAACTGAATATTGCATTCCAGCGGCGATGGAATAATCTCTTTTTTGTTGTGCTGAAAAATGCAGTTTAAATAGACTTCAACGTTGGAACAGGAGAAATGCACACGGAACACCAGCTCAGAAGGAAAATAAAACAAGAACCGCAAATTGTATTGGACAGTTACCTCGCTTTGATTTCAGCCAAACATCGTACTCAACATTTCTGTAAATGTTTGGGTTGAATGCTCGGAGCACCTTGCTAGGAAAGGAGATGGGAGCAGTGTTGTCATTCTTCAGCTGCTGTTTCTGTCCACGATTAGAAAGAAAACACACACGCACATGCTTGTGGCGAGTAATTCAACAGTATGCATGCAAATTAAAGACCTCTTTCATGCTTTTTTTTCCCTTTCCTTCCCCCACTCACCGCCCCCAAGCTCTGTGTCTAGCCAGCTGTATAATGCGCTATGAGAAGTCCTCCCAGCATGAAAAGTGCTACATAAATGTTTATTGTGCATATTGTAACAATGCACATAAACATTTCTGGTCACTTAATGCATTTGCTTTGCTATGAAATGCAAAATCAAATCATCACTTGTCAGCACCAGCTGCAACACTTCCCAAGTTTCCCCAACGCATTGACATCCAGCAAATGTGTTCTCCAAGTATAAGCAAGTGTGTGAGTGTGTGTTTATGGAGCGGGGGAGATCAGTACACTCCAGAACATACTCTGCTTCTGAGAGAGAAGGGGATTTCAGTATGTCAGACAAATCCCCCCCACAAAAAAACGGATGAAAGTATGGATGGGGGGAGGGGAATGCTTCTTGTTCAGTCAGGGCTAAAGGGTCACAACCAGGAATTGCACATGAGTAGCTTGTTTCTCCTTTGCCACCAGGGCAATCGATTAACTCCACAGAGAAAGCAGCGCAATTCCACAGTCCCTGAGGGGCCAGTGTTAAAATTGGCTCTGCAATTTACAGTAAGAAAAGTGAAAGGTTTAGTCAGACTCTCTCTACGTCAGTGGCAATTACAGTACTGTCAGCAACTGTGCTTGTGAGCATTTTCCTTCAAAACATTTTTTTTTAATCTGTCTGGGCCTGATCCCAAAAATGTGCGGTTGATGTGAAAAACGAAAAATGTAACGTCAAACAACTGCAGAATTAAATCGTTATCATTTTCAGTACCTTGTTACACAACTGGGACTTCAATCCATTCAGCTCACTCTCATCAGCAGCTTTACTCCTAGAGAAAACAAAGCAAGCTTTGGTGAGGGTGTGCTCGAATTTATAACTATAGAAGCAGTAAAGTGACTGATTTCAGCAATTTTTTTCTGCAAAGTAAAGCTAAAATAATAAGAAAAGTATTACAGTTATGAGACTTCATATAAAAGACAGGATCTGAAATTTGAACGGTTTAATGATTCGGCATTAAATATAAAAATAATAATCCACATTATCATGTCGTTGTGACATCTCAAAGCACTTCACAGAACGTACAGAAAGTGAATTGACTTGTGTATTTTGTGGGCGAAATGCAACAGCCAATTGCGCACGGCAGTGTCCCACAAACAGTCATGGATTAGGTGAGCAAAGTTGGGGGTTTTTTTTAAGTCACAATTTGTATAATTTGCCTAACAAAATATTTATGTTTCACCCTCACAAGTTTTAGCATCTCCACATGCTATCTTATTGAAATTGGAAAGATATTACAAAACCAATGGGAAAACCCTCAAATCATCTTTCAAATTAACATAAAAATGAAAGGTTAAAACTCTTGAAAATAAGCAAAAATACAAGCAGCCATACTGCTCAGGTTACTTTTTACATATAATTCACTCAACCGGGCAGATCGTTCACACCCTGAAGACTGAAGTGCGCCAATTCGTAATCAGAGTCGCAAATAATAACACCTGAACTGCAGCACATGGCAATCCCAAGCTTCATTCCAAAACGTGCCCAGAATTGGAGCAGTAATAACAACCCTTACATTTGATATAAGACAAAGCACTTCCAAATTTTCTGTAGTGTATTGAATGTGTATTTTTGGTAAACAGGGAAGCCAATTTGCAACCAGCAATGGCCCACATGCAGCCATGAAGTGAGTGCCAATTTTATCTGGTGCCTGTCTAGAATTATGACCTCTAAGTACCGATGTAGAGATTGAACCCACAACCTTTCAAGACAAGAGTGCTATCGACTGAGCTAAGCTGACACCTAAGTGTCTCGGGGGTCAGAGTGACACATTTCTGATTTCCAAAATGAGTGGCTAATTGCCAGCTCAAATATGTCAGACCGAAAATTTCAATGGAAAATTTCTCCGTTCAGAGATCGCATTAACACACAAAATAGCATATATTACGTAAAAAAAATCTGCCTTGTATGCACAAATTGGCTTACCATGTGTACTGGATACACAAATTAGTTTTTGCAATCCCAGTCTTATTCTTTGTTTTCTCATGTATCCAACTGTCATCAGATGATAACAGACTGACAGATCTTGAGGGTTGGACCAAAATGAAATATGCCAGTTGATTGGACCGTGTTACGCATGATCATTTAGGATGTACGTATTTTTTTTAAAAAAACTAACTGATCTCCATCAGTTAAAAAAGTATGTGGTACGTACATGTATATAATATATAATTAATAATGTATATATTTATTATATATAGAGATAGATACACATACGCACAAACTTGTATAGGAGATACTGTCCTGTATGAAGGGCACAATATGAGTGCATGTTGTAGTTGTATAATTGATGGAAAGGAGATTCTAATTTTTGATTCTATGTTTGCAGTTGAAGTGAAAACTGCTGAGAAAGCCTGGAATGCTATTTGTGTTCATAAACGTGCCTGAGTGATTGCATTATTTGTGGGTAACTACAGTATATTACAGTATAATAAGACTAAAAATTGTCATATCTAGGTCGTTGGATTAATTGCTTCTCCAATGAGGGGCAAAAGAGTCAGATGCTGCTTCTGGTTTACATGCCTAACAGGATCCCGGTTTCAAACTGGGAAATGTGCTTGACCGGAAAGAACCGCTGGGGTCCCAAACTAGAACAAAAATCGCACACATCTCTAGCTGTTACACTTCTAAAATTGATTTAAACTCCAGACCTGCTTGAAATTCCTGGATTGCTTTGCCAAACAATTGCCATTCAGATTGGATATCAATTTGACCACTTACCCGAGCAGTCCCAATTCTGTATCAGAATCAGAATTGGAATCTTCACTGGTGTTGGGATAATCTCACTTGTTTCACCGTTTGCATCCAGCACAGGAATTACTGAGCTAACATCAGTTTCAAGTACATTCTGGTACAGCATTTCATACAGAATGGCTGAAAAATAAAATACAGTTATCAATTTATACTCTGCTTGTATCCTCATCCGCACCAAACTCCGCACGCCATCACTCCATTCCTCGCCAGGCTCCATTGGTTCCCTGTCTCCAGACGGATCAACTTCAAGATCCTCACTCTCGTATACAACTCTCTTCATGCCTTAGCATCTCTCTACCTCTTTGCTCCTACCCCACTCCTCTGCCCACCCCCTCTTACTCACCTATAGACCTCTTGCATGTTTCTGGAACCCTCCGCATCACCATCATTGGCTGAGCCTTTAGCCAATATACATCCAATCTTTGCAACTCCTGCCTCACCTTCCTTGCACCCTCATCTTTTAAATCCCACCTGAAAATCTACTTCTTCATCTGGCCAAGGTCATATCCCCGCTTCCACCCCGTCACCGTACAGCGATCCAAGACATTATTTTACACAGAGGGCGTTATGTAAATTCATCTTGCTGTTGTTCCATTCTAACAATGTGCTATCAAGTAGAAAATATTTGTAAAACATATAGTGGACACTTTTAACCCTTTACAAGTCTCATAATCTTTGCCTTAAACTATGGTCTTTAAAATGTAAGAACGTTGGAGGATTTTTGAATGACGTTAGCTTGGCTAAGTTGGGAGCCATATCCCTTCCTTGCCTCCTTTAATGCCCATCTCAAGACCTTCCTGTTTGGCCTTGCCTTCAGGCACCCTCCCAGCGCCTTGTCACCCACCCCTTTTGATTCCAACCCCCAGCTTGGGTGCAGATCTTGGACTGTTCAGCACCTCAAGACATCCTCCCGACAATTTTTTTGTTTGGTGGTGGTGGCGCTGTGCATTTTGGGGGAGGGAGAACGCTTTAATTCAAAATTATCATACTAAAACTAAATGTTGATAGTCAGCTTTAAGTATTCACAACAAAACTAGAATTTCTCTTCCAAGCCGTTACTCACATTGACATAAGGCGGCATCATCAATAAAGCTTCTGGGATAGACGCTGTCGTAATGATTCCCGTTTGAAAAGCATAACAAAATCTAAGAGGGAAAAAAAGGTTTTAAAATTGGTTACACTCTAACAGCTACTGGAGCACAAGTTGGGAAGGACATTCAATGAGGATGCATATAAAACCCAATAGTACTAAAACATTTAAGGCACTTAAGCATCTACCTGGTAATGTTAATGCTGCAGTTCCCGACTGTAGCACTAGAGGTCTGTAAGACTGATATGAAAACACTTGAGGTCTCTGCAATGGCATTTCAATTTACTCAACAGGTCCTGCGTGTAATTTTCTGTCATCTTGAACCCGGAAAGTAAGTTTAATGTATGTAAGATTCAGATTTAAGGGTTTTCAAATTGATCCTTTTATACTTTGCCCCTCTTCTCTTCACTGTAACTAATCAGTCACTTTTCTATGGTCTCACCTGATCAGGAAATCCATTTTCCGTAACACTGGCAGGAGGTCGATTCGCTTCCTGATAAATTATGAAATCTCGCCTGCAAGGAAAAATAAATATTAAAACCCTTTTGATAAAACAACAACTTGTACTTATATAGCGGCCTCCATGCAGGGTAGCGTTTCAGAGCAAGTAACAGTGGCAGAGCTCGACTCCAATCCAAGGGGGAGGTGACTGTACGGACGATCGAAAAGGAACGTTTTCAGGCAGGACTTGAAAAACGGGAGAGGGAGCAAGACGGGATTGAGGGATAGTGTGTCCGGAGTTTCATGGTGTAGTGGCCGAATGCGCGACCTCCAATGGTGGAGCAAGGGACAAGCAAGAGGCCAGTCTAGCGGAGGTGTCGGATGGTGGATTGGGGAGTGAGGAGGTTCGAGAGGTAGGGAGGTGCCAGGGAGTGAATGGATTGAACATGAGTGTGAGGATTTTGAAGTCAATCCGTTCAGTGATGGGAGCCAATGCAGCCTGGCCAGAACTGGTGAGATACGGGTACGGAGTTTGGTCGGGTAAGTATGCTGACAGTAGAGTTCTGAATGAGCTGGATTTTTTCAATAGTGTAGCTGGGGAGACCGGCAAGGAGTGCATTTGAGTAATACAGCCGGGAGTTGACAAACGCATGCGTGAGGGTTTCTGCTGTTTTGGGGGTAAGGTATAGTCGAAGACGGGCAATATGGTAGAGGTGGAAGAAGGTGCTCCTGGTCAGGGACCAGTTAGGGGGAAGAAAGGACAGCTGGGAGTCAAACCAGATGCTTTGACTACACACTGGTTCAGAGAGTCTGTGGGAGAGCCCAGGGAGGTTGAGGAGTTCAGATCTGCAGGAGTGAAGACGTTGACGGGAGCCAAGGAGTATGGCTTCTGTCTTGTCCACATTCAGCTGCAGGAAATTTGCACTCATCCAGGCCCTGATGTCTACCAGACAAGCTGATAGAACATCGGCAGATGGGAGTCGCAGTTGGAGGAGGAAAAGTAGATTTGTGTATCATCCGCATACATGTGGACGTTTACCTCGTATCTGCGACTAAAAAAAAAGCAATTCCAAATTGAAACTAACAATCAAAAGTGTGATATTGTGGAGTAGTTCACTTATTGTAAGTGCATGCTAGGTTCCATATCAAAGTGACAAGAAACCCATTTCCCTCCTCTTTAAAAGGGCAGTATGCCGGTCCAAGATATTGGGGTACTAAGTGGTAAGTTGCCAACAAAACCTTGGAATCTATGTCTCACTGTCACAAAGAGTCACTGAGTATATAGAAGACATCTTTTCATAAAATCAGATCCGGAATCGTTGGTCACTCTGCCCAAATCAACAGGTGGTTATTCGAGAGCTTTGGGAAAGACCCAGAAACATGCCTCCAACCATCCTCTAAAGAGATTAGTCTTGAAATCCCTCGAAGATATTTATTAAACTGTTAAACTTTGATGGGGTGGTTTATAAAACCTGGTGTTTCAAGTTGTGTTGGCTGCAAATAGCAGTTCTGCAGTGTACAATGAACTCAGCATCAATACACAAGGACACCTATACTGAAAAATTCATGTTTGCAACATAATCATTGTCAATTTATAAGCTAATTGCTGAGGAATCCATGTATTGTGTGAAAATGGTAAGCTTTACATGACAGCACTATTTTCAAGGGTTCTCTGGTATGCATCAGAGTCACGAAGAAACAAAGGAAAAGCCTTGGGAGGATGGAACAATGTCCACCTCCATTAATCAGCCACCAAACCACTTGAAATTGATCAGCTCTGCTCAAAGCACATTAAATCAACATTGGTCTTACTTGTACATGAGTGAAAGAGCACTGATTTCCACTTGTCCAACCCATTCCTGCATTAAAGACAAACAGCGTTTCAAATTTGGGTCATCAGAAGTGAGAAAGTAAAACATTTAGATATATTGTTATTATGGGAAAGACAAGGGGATAACCTCTGTATGAAGTGCCAGGCTGACAGGAAGGCACTGGTATTCCCTAAACAGAGAATGGCTCATCATAGCTGACAATATCAAGAGTGGGCATTGAATAATAATCCTTGCATTTGATACAGGGCCTTATCACGTCTTTGAAATGTCTCAAAGCGCCTCACAGAATATACTGTAAAGGGAATTGACTATATATTTTGTGGGCGAAACGCGGCAGTCAATTGCGCACAGCAGTGTCCCAATGTCTCAGAACAGACAGAAATATCCATCTTTTTAGTCTTCCCAAGATAGTAGGGAGAAATCTAAGATAGGTCATCCTCGCACTCCAGCCAGTTCAAGAATTGCAATGCCAGAGGCTTATTACTTATTTACCCTCAAAACTCAAAGAAAAACAAAAAACATTTGTAATTTAATAACAAAAACTCAGCAAGATAATGACAAACATGTTTAATTGAAGCTAAGTTCTGAAAGTGGACACTGGACAGCACGTGAAAGGCGCTATACAAAATAAAGGTACTTGTTGTTCTGCTCTGGAATTCTAAAGTTGCTCAATGTCTTTTCACTACCACAAATCACCAACCAATTGGGACAATAAAGTCATGTCTCAAAGGTTAGACAACAACAACTTGCATTTATTTGGCACCTCTCGCACAGGGGAGTGTCCCAGAGTACTTGACTATGGCAGAACACGATGCCAAGCCAGAGGGAGATTGGGAGACAATCTCCAAAATATAGTTCTAGATTACAGAGTCGTTTTCTTTTCACTGTTGCTCAGATGTCAAAAGAACAATTACTTTTTTTCCCCTGTAAACTGTTTATAAAGACAATAATCAACCCAGATACATGCAGCACTGCTGCACTTAGTTTAACGGAACCCAAGGCAATAAAGATAAGATGCTAATTCCATACCTGTGGCTTTTCGATTTGCTTTAAATATTCATCAAACGATCCTTCAATAAACTGCAGTGATGAAAGGAAGAAAATAACCTTATGAATGATGCAACATTAAACAGGAACCCCTGTGCTTCTCTAGCTGTGACATTACAAAATGACGGCTCTCACAGGACTGACTGCTGCTGGGGAGCATATTCTGTAGCAGTGAAATGACCACACAAAATCTGACTGGACAAGAAACATACCCCTTCCCACCCCAGAAAGCATCGAGACATTATAATGTCCAAACAGCAAGCTCATTGGCAGAGTTCAACAAACAGGTTGTCTTCAGCCAGGAAATGCATAACCCCCTACCAACCTGTCCGATCCACAGGCTGCTTCACTTCCCCTGCCTTGCCTGCACTACCATTGGCGGGAGGGCCTTCAGCCTCTCTGCCCCCACCCTCTGGAACTCCATCCCACAGTCCCTCCGCCTTGCCCCTCCCTTGCCTCCTTGAAGACCCATCTCAAGACTCTCCTCTTCGACCGTGCCTTCAGTCACCCTCCTGCCCCTACTTTCCCCGCCCCCAATCCTCCCCAATCCCAACCAACAGCTCGTGTGTGAATCCGACTGTCCAGGGACTTGGGAAGTCTTCCTGACATGAAAGGCACTGTACAAATGTAATTCGTTATTTTTGTTGTGCGCAACCCACAGACAGAAGACCCAACAAAAGGGAGAAACTTAAATTGAATTTATATATTTTTTTAAAGACACAAAGGAAATGAACAAACAAACAAAGCTACCGCTTCAAATGCTTCTCGGTTCTTCCTGAGGTACGAAACGCAAGCTTTCCTGACCTCGAGGTGTCTGGACTGTGTGTGGAAAACCTGCGGAAAGGTCACAAATTCAAACATTATTGTCATTGAGTCGGTTTACTTGCAGTATTGTATGTACATTTTACAAAATCTTGACACATATACTGTAAAGTTATGGAAAGAATGAGGCATTTCGCCCACAAATATACGGTCAATTCACTTTACAGCATATTCTATGAAGCGCTTTGAGACATCTAGGTAGAAGACGTGAAATATATCAAATGCAAGTATTATTATTATAAAAGTGACTGACTATATATTTTGTGAGCGAATTTTATGTATATTATTCTTATGTGAAGACTGCTATATAAAACAATAATCCTTACATATGAATATAGCATCTTATCATGTCTTCAAGATGTCTCAAAGCGCTTCACAGAATACACTGTAAAGTGAATTGACTGTATATTTTGTGGGAGAAACATGGCAGCCAATTGTGCATAGTAGTGTCCTACAAACAGTCATGGATTGAGTGATCAATTTATTATTATTATTTGTTTTTTGAAGGAATTATTATCCCCAGAAAAGCCATCCGCCAATCGACTAACAACTATTGTTAGACTAACAGTCTAGTTGTTAGACTAACAACTATGGTTCCTATTTACTGCAGAGGCACGTGAGTAAGGAAACTTGCCCAACGTTTCGCTCGGTCAGGAATCAAACCCAGGTCTCTCACTTGTGAGGCCAGTGATCTAACCACTGAGCTACAGGACACAAAACGCCTACTTCTCATTGAAATGGAACCTCAAGCCAGCTACGATTTAGTCTATTTTTGAAAGTTGAGGTTACCATTGCCTAATCTCTTTTCAAATAAAATACAGGATCACCATTTCCACCTCGCATTTGCTTCAGTGCATTCCTGTCTTAACAGGCCATGACCATCTCCATATGATCTTGGCATTGGATCAAGCATCCATAAATAACTCAATTAAAACTGCACGCCCTCGGTTTTAGCCAAAGGGCTGAGAAGCCATCTTAACTCTTGTTTTGTCAAAATAGTTGCCAACCTTGGATAGTTACTCCAAAGTTACTGTAGTATCCAGGCAACAAGAGATGGGATGTGAAACCTGGAATAATTTTTACTGAGGGGTGGGGGGGGGGGGAAATCAGAGTCCTTAGGGCAGTGGTTCTGACTGACTCTCTCCACCTGTCTGGTACATCAATTGGATCCTTTCCCCCCTCCCTCCCTCTCTCCCTCTTGTACCACTGTTCCACGATGCAGCAATAAAAAATAATGCCGTTCTCTCCCAGTCTGGTAACAGGAGAATTGGATGCACAGAATACTTAAAAGTGGGATTATCCTGAGCCTCTCTGGCTGTGTGTGTGTTGTGTGTGTGTGTGTGTGTGTAAAAAAAAAACATCCACTGTGTGTAAAAATAATTTCAATCCAAGGTGAGGTGGAGATGGAGAGTGGGGGGGGGGGAAGTGGCACAATCTCAACAACAACAAGATTGCATTTATAGAGCGCCTTTCACGTCGGGAGGACGTCCCAAGGCGCTGTACAGTTGGGTCAGGACCCGAGCCGGGGGGGGACATGGTCAGGGTGAGGGGAGGGAAGGGAGGGAGCGAGGAGGGGGTAGAGAGTCGAGAGGGGAGCTGAAGGCACAGTCAAAGAGAAAGGTCTTGAGACCGGCGTTGAAGGAGGAAAGGGTGGAGGCAATGCGAAGACACTGGGGGATAGAGTTCCAGGGACTGCACAAGACGCACCGCCCGAGAATAATGGTGAAACTTAACAATATGTGGGACTCAGAAATAAACATTAGCATTTGTGAAACCAGTCCCCGAACCACTTCGGTCTCACACTTCCTGCTGACTGTCGTGATTGACGTTGGTGTCCGCGCAACAAGTCCATGTCTGACCCCCGGGGTTCACACTCACCGACACGGCCTCGGCTTTGCGCAAAAGTTCACTTTTACACAAACCATCAACAACAACAACAGCAACAACAGCGCCGCTCACACCGACAACACTGCGCTCCGGGTTCGCGATGTCACGGAAAAGCCAAGACACGGTCCAGAGTGCTGTCACCGGGCACCGCGCGGGGGGGGGGGGGGGGGCACCGCGGGGGGGGGGGGGGGGCACCGCGGGGGGGGGGGGGGCACCGCGGGGGGGGGGGGGGGGCACCGCGGGGGGGGGGGGGCACCGCGGGGGGGGGGGCACCGCGGGGGGGGGGGCACCGCGGGGGGGGGGGGCACCGCGGGGGGGGGGGCACCGCGGGGGGGGCACCGCGGGGGGGGGGGGGGGCACCGCGGGGGGGGGGGGGGGGGGGCACCGCGGGGGGGGGGGGCACGGGGGGGGGGGGGCACCGCGGGGGGGGGGGGGCACCGCGGGGGGGGGGGGGGCACCGCGGGGGGGGGGGGGGGGCACCGCGGGGGGGGGGGGCACCGCGGGGGGGGGGGGGGGGGGGGGGGGGGGGCACCGCGGGGGGGGGGGGGGGAGTGAAAGTAAAAAGGAGGGCAGCACAACTGCTCTCCTCCTCACCGATTACACCGACTTTACAGGAAATAATAATAATAATAATAATGATGATGATGTGATGATGATGATGAAGCAGCTGAGAGGGACCCCCTCACACCCCCCCCACACCCCCCACCCCCACAACCCCCACAAACCCCCCACACACACCCCACCCCCTCACACCCCACACCACACCCCACCCCCCACCACACCCCACACACCTGCTCGGCCACTGCCCTGAAGAGGCACGACCCGTCCTTGGCGATTCTCTTGCGGTACAGACCTCGGCTCTTCAGGAACTCGTCGAGGGGGAGCACCTCGAGCGGCTGCGCTGCGTCTTTACCGGGGCCGCCACCACCACCACTACCACCACCACCGGCGGCGGCGGCGGGGGAGCCGCGGTCTTTGGCCTCGGCGGCGGCCTGCATCCCCCTCTCCCCCTCTCCTCTATGTGCGTGTGGGGGGGGTGGCCGCCATGTTGTTGTTGTTGTTGTTGTTGCTCAGGGCCGCGGGCTCCACGACAAGCTTCAGCGCCTCGAGAGCCGATTGTCCCACAACGTCAGCCGCCTGCGTGAGTCGCGTCACGCCGTCCCGTGGAGGCTTCCGGGTAGTGTAGTTTCCCCTCGTCTCTCCAGGCTTTCTCCCCCCCTTTCCCCCCCGCGCTAATGACTACATCTCCCAGAGTGCACCGCGGAAGCCTTCACCTCCTCCTCCCCTCTCAATGGGCTGAACCTGGGGCGGGTTTCACGCCCAGTCGGCGGGTTTATGTTTTCTGTTCAGCTGTAACGTGTGTGTGTGTGTGTGTAAAAATAACACATGTTTGGGTGGATGACTCATTTTTATCATATTTTAAATGTGCAAAAGTTTTTTTTGGTGTGGGGAGGGGGGGAGGGAACACCCCCTTTTTGAAGAGCTTTTCTGCCACAGTTTCCAAAGCACTAATTGACCTGTTTACCCTTATGGGGGAGGCAACACATGATATATTGGGCTACTTTTTTTGTGGCAATAGATTTCTTTTTTTATTTTATTTTACTTATTTGCATGCACTTATCTCACAAACTTATCTCTAAACCCGTCACAGGGGGAGGGAAAAGAGAAGCGACACGTTATTTTCTCGTTACAGGACACGAGCGGACGAACAAAACGATATATATATATATATATTTATACATATATTCATTTATTTGTAGATAATATATTTGCACTTATTTCAGAAAGTATGAATATTGGGCTACTTTTGGGCTCGTAGTTGGTGGGTTTGGGGCTATTTTAATTGCTGGCCACCCCGCCTCTCTCTGTGTCTTGTCTCTGAGATCATGCTCCTCAATCGAAATTGAAAGGAAAAGTAAACCCTTGTATCGTTTTCCTCCAAACGCACATACACCCTCCCCTGACACCCACCGGCTCTTGTCTATACATAGAAAGGGTAGGAGTTTGCAGATACAAAAAAGACGATTTACTGTTTTTATTGGTAATATACTGAGGTATATTACTCTCTGTCTGCCGGACTCACCCACCTCAGCTACAATATCTACCCAATCTGGAAATCTTCACCCGAATTTTTATTGCTCTCATAAGAACATAGATAAGAACATAAGAATTAGGAGCAGGAATAGGCCATTCAATAAGATCATGGCTGATTTATTCTAACTCCACCTACCCGCCTTATTCGTGGGCGAAACACAGCAGTGAGTTACACACAACAGTGTCCCACAAACAGCCATGGAATGAGTGACCAATTTTATTTGGGGGATTATTGGCCGGAACACAGGGAGAAACTCCCTCCTCTTTTCGAATGGTCCATGGGATCTTAAAGCCTCCCAGCTTCGCTCTTTCCTCTCCTCCCTCCATGTGCCCCTCCAATTGGGTTTCCGTGCTGCCCACAGCACGGAAACTGCTCTGGTCAAGGTCACAAATGACATCATGACCATGTGTGATCAGGGCTCCCTCTGTCTCCTCGTCCTCCTCGACCTCTCCGCCGCCTTTGATGCTGTGGACCACTCAATCCTCTTCCACCGCCTCTCCTCCCACCTCAACCTTCAAGGTTCTGTCCTTGACTGGTACAGGTCCTACCTTTCACACCGCCTCCACTTCGTCTCAGCAAACGGCTTCTCCTCCAGCCCCTGCACCCTCTTGTGCGGAGTTCCTCAAGGCTCTGTCCTCGGTCCCCTCCTCTTCACCCTCTACATGCTCCCCCTTGGTGACATCATCCGCAGACATGGAGTAAATTTTCACATGTATGCAGATGACCCCCAACTCTATCTCTGCCTCCACTCTCAACTCCAGGATTACTGGCGTCCTGACCGACTGCCTGTCCGACATCAAGTCCTGGATGAGGGACAACTTTCTCCCAACATCAGCAAGACCAAGGCCTTCCTGATTGGCTCACACCAGCGCCTCCACACCTCAGGCACTGGCAGCATCAGCCTCCACGGCTGCACACTCAACCTCGCTAAGGGACGTCCTCCTGACGTGAAAGGCGCTTTATAAATGGAATCTTGTTGTTGTTGTTGTTGTTGTTGTAAGCCAGTCAGGTACCTGGGTGTCTCGTTTGATCCTGATCTGTCCTTTCTCCCCCACATCCGCGCCATGACCGGCACTGCCTACCACCACCTCTGCAACATTGCCAGACTCTGCCACTGCCTCACCCCTCAGGCTGCCGAAACCCTCACCCACGCATTCGTCACATCAAGGCTCGATTATGGAAACTCCCTCCTCATCGGCCTTCCCAACTCCTCCCTTCACAAGCTGCAGATCATCCAAAACTCTACAGCTTGTTTACTCTCACGCACCAGGCTCCGTGACCCCATCACTCCCACCCTCGCCCGACTCCACTGGCTCCCCATCCCTCAGAGGATCGAATTCAAGATCCTCGTCCTCACTTTCAAGGGCATCCATGGCCTTGCCCCCTCCTACCTCTCTGACCTGCTGACTCCCTACCAACCTGCCCGCTCCCTCCGTTCAGCGGGCTCCAGCCTGCTCCATGTCTCCTGCGCGATCCGCCGTACCATCAGGAGCCAGGCTTTCAGCCTCTCTGCCCCCACACTCTGGAACTCCATCCCACAGTCCCTTCGCCTCGCTTCCGCCCTTGCCTCCTTCAAGGCTGGTCTCAAGACCCTCCTTTTCGATCGTGCCTTAAGTCGCCCTCCCACCTCTCTGCCTTTCCTCGCCCCTACTCCACCCCTCCCCCATGCTCAAGTCCTGCGCCTTGGGACGTCCTCCTCACCTGAAAGGCACTCCATAAATGTAATTTTGTTGTTGTTGTTTATCACACACCTGAACAGGCAGATTGGACCTTGGTTTAACATCTCACCTGAAGGACAGCACCTCCGACAATGCAGCACACCCCCAGCAAGCACTGCATTGGAGTGTCACCTTAGATTCTCAGTCCCGATGTGGGGCTTGAACCCATAATCATCTGACTCAGAGGTTAATCCAATAAATGTACTGAAGACTGGATGGATGAAGTACGTTTCAATGATATAAACAGGATTTTCACTATGTTGCCGGTAGATGGTGTCACAGTGCTAGTGTCGGTATCTTTGCCAAAATTCTCGGGAACATTTTCAGCTGCTCTCCCATGGTCTTGGCCACATGAGGTCACTCAAGTACATGGTTATTCACAGCAATCACAGCAGTGCTTTGTAGAATTCCTGCTCTCCATTTTAAATAAAGAGGCTATGAGTAACAATTAAAGTTGGCCACAAAACATGCTCGTTTCTCCATCCAACAAGAGTAAACAATACTTAAATATTCCTTTTCGATCTCCTAGGGAAAGGTAGATATTGATATTAGAAATATTTAGTGAAGTCTGTTTGTGGCTCAGTGGGGAAACGCACTGCCTAGTGTGCTACGCTGAATAGGAAGGTCCTAGGCATAATCATGTAATCACTGGCCTTCCCTGAATTATATTATCCCTCAAAGGAGTGTAGGGCTACAATTGGTATTAGTTTTCCTAGCCTAGGATATCTAGAAATTAGCCAATGTTCCTACTGCTGGTCAACAAGGCTGCTCATCAGGATTAGCAGTTTAATTCGGACAACATTAGATTCATTCAAACAGGGAAGATATATACACAGGTAGCATATATTTAACAGGCTATAATAATACTCCTGCTATTTGATACAGTGCTTTTCAGATCAGGAGGATATCTCAAAGCGCTTCACGGTATTTACTATTAAGGTGTAGTGACTGTGTGTTTGTAGGCATGTACAGCTATCAATTTCCACACAGCAAAGTCCCACAAAAAGTCATGAAATGAGTGACTCAATTTATTTGAGTCATTGTTGGCCAGGGCACTTGGAAGTAACTCCTTTCCTTTTTCGAATAGTAGCTATGGGATCTTTAGCTTCCACCTGAACCAAAAGAAGGGACTTTAGTTTAACATCTCATCTGATAAACCCAGGACAACACTTTAAAATACACCAAGGTGAAGAAACCTAGGTTCAGTATTGTGAAGGACAGAGTTAGGTCAGATAACAAGTAATTATTTATCGCCCTCCTCTTGTAAATGGATTGCCTTCTTGCTGGAGTACTATTCCAGAGGCCCAAGTCACTTTTTTCAATACCGCACCCAGGTGATCACTGTCCTTCACAGTAGGTAGGGGGGGAATCAAAAATAAGGGCAGTCAGTTCTCACCTGACATCCACACTTTGCCTCTTCTAGCTGTGATCTTTGGAAACGATCAGAAGCTGGAGCCATGGCTCATTTTCCTACCCCAACTTAATTCTCAGAGTCCAATTGTAGTGCTCTAGCTGAGATAAATCCTGTAACTCAGTGGTGAAAGTACTCGCCTCGCAAGCGAGAAACCTGGGTTTGATTCCTGGCAGGGCGAAATGTTGGGGAAGTTTCCTTATTCCACACACTTCTGTTTACCTAGTAGCGAGTAGGAACCCGGTTGTTAGTCAATTGGTGGATCACTTTTCCAGGGGTAATAATTCCTTCAAAACAAATAATAAATTAGTCACTCAATCCACGACTGTTTGTACACAATTGGCTGTCGCATTTTGCCCACAAAGTATACAGTCAATTCACTTTACAGTATATTCTGTGAAGCATTCTGAGACATCTCGGATACATAATAAGGTGCTATATCAAATGCAAGGATTATTATAAGGTACTCAGGACAGAGAAGTGATTGAACCTGGACTTTCCTGTTCTGTACCATTCAGCTCGTTACTCAAAATATCAGCAAGCTATCAGAGCATCCATATATTTGTTACATTCTAAAACATATCTATGCTAATTTATAATTGCTTTACCTTTATTTGCTTACCTGTGAAATCTTATTATGAATTTGTGCACTGTGCTTGTTAATAATAATAATAATGAATTTTGCATTTGATATGGCGCTTTATCACATCTTCGAGATATCTCAAAACGCTTCACGGATTGTACTATAAAATTAATTGACTGTGTACTTTGTTGGCGAAACGCAGCAGCCAATTGG